CTTTTTATGGCCTGTGCAGTGGATGGGGCTCCTCTCTGGTCTATAGGGCAAAGGGGAATGTTCTTATTCACATCAGCCAATGGGATTCACTGCTTGGTGAAAATAAGCAAGTCCAATAGCAGCATTTTACCAGTAAAGAGGACCTGTACTGTAGAAGCTGTGGCCAAAAAAGGCAAGCAGAGGGCAAAGGAGCAGGTCCAATAGCAGCATTTTACCGGTAAAGAGGACCTGTACTGTAGAAGCTGTGGTTAAAAAAAAGGCAAGCAGAGGGCAAAGGACTCTGCTTTGCCCTCTGCTTGCTTTTTTGTGGCCACAGCTTCTACAGTACAGGTCCACTTAGTAGCATTTTACCGGTAAAGAGGGCCTGTACTGTAGAAGCTGTGGTCAAAAAAAGGCATGCAGAGGGCAAAGCAGAGTCCTTAGCAGCATTTTACCAGTAAATGGGACCTGTACCGGAGACGCTGTGGCCAAAAAACCAAGCAGGGGGCAAAGGACTCTGCTTTGCCCTCTGCTTGTGTTTTTTTAGCCTCAGTTTCTACAGTACAGGTCCTCTTTACTGGTAAAATGCTGCTATTGGACCTGCTCATTTTCACCAGGCAGTGAATCTGATTGGCTGATGTGAATAAAAACATCACCCTTTGCCCTACAGACCAGAGAGGCATTTATATAGTGCCGGCAATTTACGCAGCGCTTTGCACAGTCCCTGCCCTCAAGGAGCTTACAATCTAAGGGCCAATGTGAGAGCCAATTTAGAAAGGAGCCAATTAACCTACCAGCCTGTCATTGGCATGTGGGAGAAAACTGTAGTACTCCAGATGAAACCCACACAAGCACAGGGAGGGCATGCAAACTCATTGTAGATAGTGATTCGAACCATGGACCCTCAGTATTACAAAGCAGAAGTGCTAACCACTATGCCACTGTGCTGCCCATTACTGACTTGCCATGCCCTGCTTTGCACTGTGACTCTTGGAGGTGGCCATCTTGGTAGAAGCAGGGCTTTGTTTCTACATGTCAGAGCTGCCCATCTGATGGGGTCGTGATCAAAAGCAGCAGTAGGTGCGGAGAAAACACAGATCCACAGTATGAATGAACCAGAAACAGGGAGATCCTTGCACTGCAGGCCCTCAGGTACAGCTTCCTCTCCGGCAAGGAGAACAGTGAATAGCGCAGTAGTGACATCTCCAAATCTCATCAGAGGCGGCAACGCCGTAGATGATTTCATGTTGCAGATGTAAACTAAGAAACAGGAGGTACTTTTTTACAGAAGCAATTTGATATTTTTTGGCTTCTCAAAAATTTCAGAGCAACACATGCACCATGCACTCTCCATTCCAGTCTACAACGCATGATTGCAGTTGGCTCAGCCTGCTCTTTGGGTTTGGGGGCAATATCACACCGGATCGGGGGACAGGTGAATATGAGACTTGCAAGGGGCAGGCCAAGGTACAATATAAGTGTAAGGTGCAGAAGCCCTTCCATATGTGAGAATTGTTTGCCTGCAGACATTAGATTTGGGGAGACAAGTTGCAATGGGTGTATAGGTCTGCCAGGTTGGTCAGTCTAATAGTACATCTGTCTTTTCATGAATTGCTGCACAAACATCCAAATCATATGCTCTCCATAGGGTGCCCAGCGAGATGTGCTTGTGTTTACTGGAGACAATTAGCACGTTTATTTGTTACACAGACTCCCGAGGGCTTCGTCTGCTCCTCAAATTCCTGAACGTTATAACACAGACCGGTGCAAATTGCCTGGAACGTGACATGCCCTCACTTGTATCCACATCTGGTGGGCTTTTACAAGAGTCAAGATTGTGGTTAAAGAAGACACTTTGTAAATGTCAGGGATATCGACAGCCAACAGTGCCAATTCTCTGCCGGGTACAATTTGGTTTGTTAGTTAAGCCGGCCACACACCAGCAGAATTTGGTTTGAAAAAAAATCTGTTTTCATTCCATTTTCTGATTAACGGGGTCAAATCGACAATCGTTTTCGACCGCAGTGACGGGAAAAATGGAAGGAGCCGGTTCTAACAGTGAATGTGGTTTTCTTTCAGGAAACTCCATTCCTCCTTACCATCTTGTGTTGATTTGTATTTTAACTCTAATATCCTCCTTATATTGTAAAGCGTTGTGTAAACTGTTGACGCTATACAAATCCTGAATAATAATAATTAGGGATGCACAGATATCGGTTTTTCAGTATCGAGAACGGGTACCGATATTTTTTTTTTCTGTACTTGCTGATACCGAATACCAATACCGGAAGTCCCATTAAGGGAGCCGGGCGGCATGTAATGACTCACCACCTGGCTTACTGATTAGCAGGGAAGCCGTCCCCATGCTCCCAGCATGAAGTCTGCTTTCTGGCCAATCAGGAAGCTGGGGGGCAGGTAATGACTCACCGCCCGGCTTCCCAATTGGCCAGCTTCTCGACCAATCAGTAAGCTAGGCAGTGAGTCATTACACACTGCCCGGCTTCCTGATTGGCCAGGAAGCCGGCTCCATGCTCCCCCGTCACCCCCCCTGTCTGGAAGCCGGAAGGTGAGTTATTACCCGTTCCCCGGCTTCCTGATTGTCCGGGAAGCCAGCTCCATGCTCCCAGGGGACGAGGGAGCATGGAGCCGGCTTCCCGGGCAATCAGAAAGCCTGGCACGTGCAATGACTCGCTGCCCGGCTTCCTGATACCAGATAAGTATCGGGAGCATTACCCTGTATCGGTGCATCCCTAAAAATAATTATAATTAATTCCAAAATCGAATGTTAAAATCAAATGACAGCTCGAATGCCATTCATCAATGTTCATCGAATGCTCTGACGAGATTTTTCATATGAGCGTTCGTACGAAAATCTACCAGTGTATGGCGAGCTTAAAGGGAAAATCCACCATTTAAAAAAAAAAAATAATAATACATGCGCACTTCTTCATAAAGGAAAATATTAGCATTATTTTTTTTTGTATTGGAGTCAGCAAAGCATTGCAACTAGTATTAGTGGATCATGGGTGCGATGCTCTGGCTCCTGCAGACTCTTCCTCCCCACCATGTCTGTGCCGAGGTAGGAAGAATGAATGGGCTACAAGTGTGGTGACGCCATCACACTCATATTCCAATGAGAACTACAAGTCTCTCTGCCATGTTGGCTGATGAAAGCTGTAGTTTCTCCATTCACAGATCCTGTCTGGATGGATGCCGCGGCTGTGTGTGCAGAGTCAGGCACAGCCGCTCCAAATTCAAAACTGAACTCAAGCCTCCAGGAAGAAGATTCAGGTAAGTTGGGGGGCGGGAGGATTGTGATGTGACCATGTATCATGTTACACCCAGAATATGGAAACATGTTTAGAAAGGTGGACTTAGCCTTTAAGCACATTACGTTCTTAAAGTGACTTTGTCTAAAAAAAGAGCTAGGATGGCTGAAGAATCTTCCAAATCAGACACTTCTGATGTCTGCACTGTCTACTACATTGCTGCAGTTTACCTGGCAGCTCCTATGTCACTACTGGTGCCCCTGCTGTGATGTAGCCGCGTCGGTTGCAACCACAGTCCATAATAGAAGTCACCAGTGCTCAATGATATGTGCGAGAAGTATAAGTCACTATGTTGCCCTGAGGAAGGGACCCTGCATGACCCCAAAACGTTGGATGTATGACACATGTGACAATTCAATAAAAGTGCTTATACTTCTCGCACATATCATCGAGCGCCGGTGACTTCTGTTATGCACTGCATCTGACACGGCGCCATCCGTGTTGTCACTTCAAACACCAAACTGCCGTGAAGGTCTGTATGCTCTATGGAGTGCAGGTGACTTTTTAATATTAGTTGCAACCACAGCACACATTGGGGGACACATGCATCTGACACACCCGGAAGTGTCGGATGCTGAAGTTTCTTCAGCCAGTGTAGCTCTTCAAGAGAATATTATTACTCTTCTTTTACAGACTGTTTTTATTTATTTATTTATTAGCATCAGAGTCTCTTTGTTTGAGGGGAATATAGTGCATTATGTCCAATTAATAAGACTATAGAATACAGTTGGGTCCAACAATGATGCCGCACTCTTCTGCAGCTCTCTATACTTTATTGGCACCAGCCCCTAGAGCCCCCTCCTCCAGTTTTAGGAGAACGCCACTGGGAAAATAGTTCCCAAAGTCCACACCATGAGTGTACATTTTAATCCAGAATCCATCTTCATCCTTTGTTGCTATCTACTACAGACTTAATGGAGATGCGTTGACCGCAGAAAGTTGAGGGCTGTAGTTCATCAACAGGCTGTGGTTGCCTAGGGGTCTGCTATGCTGTAAAATATATTTTATACACCTGTTTGTTGTGTCAGGTATAAACAGATGATATGTATGTGACAAAGCAGAAAGGAATGATGCCCAAGGCACAGGGAGGAAACTTGGTCCTGGCCCAGCCCATTGGCAACAGATCTACCGGCAATCAAGGTGCCCCACATGAAAGGCTTAAAAGGGACACTCCCAGGCTATTGAAATAATTGCTGCGTAAGCAGGCAATGTTCAAAGCCAGGCACCTCTAACATTCATTTCTGAAGGCAGGAGCGCGCGGCTAGGAGTCTGGAGCAGAGCTTCAAAAAGCTGTCCTTAAACACCACTAACGGCGTGTCTTTTCCAGGTCTCTATAACCAGAGGTGGACAAATTCATATGGAATCCAGGAGCCACCATGTTTTTTTTTTAGTAGCCACCTCCATTTACAACAACTAGAGAAATCCCCAAAAGTTCGGCGCCAGCTGTCATTTTTTTAAGGAGCATTGGTGACCTGGCTCCTGGGATTTGTCCAGCCCTGATTTAGGTGCCTGGTAGATGTGGTGTACCTGAGGGTGGTTTAGCTCTGCAAACACTAATTACTAAAATACCAAACAAATTCTGAAATGAAAAGATGGAGACACATTTTGATCCACCTGGTTTGGAAATAGCCATGCTTTATTGCAGTATACAAATAACTTGTTGGTCCCTAATTTTACCAGGCAACAACTGAGGGAAAGTGGACTGGTCAGGGCTGGGTCGTACTATTGACCGTGACGCGGGAAGCTGCGCTTCTTCCTTAGGGCCCGTTGCAGTTTTACGCGCGCTATGTTAAGAGTCTCATTTATATTGAATGTGCCTCAACACACCAAAGATGCTGCATGCCACACTTTTCTTATCGCAACGCACATATCATTCACATCTGTGCGCTGTGGTTCGTTACAACGTATGTGCGCTGGGCTGCCATTCAAGATGAATAGCAACCCACTGCGGTACATGCATTGCCATGCAATTGCAGAAATGCATGCACTGTACAGTGTGTTACTGCAATGCATAGGTGTGAACGGGCGGTAGTGTCATAGGTAACAATGAGGGGCCATGATACCAGATTTCAGGCCGCCTAAAACAACGCTCTCCCTTTTGCGTTATGTAAGGGGCAGAATATGCAAGCAGCCATGTTGTGGTCTAAACCTGGCACGCTAGAGAATGCTACCTATACCTGGTCTCATGTTTTTTAAATTCAGCCCTCAAGGTGGCTACTCATGTTTTCCACTTTCCCAGATACTAACCCTTCTGTCAACACGCGTGCAGCAGCTTCGCTATTTACGTAAACGCTTTTACAAAGCTGCATCCCAGCAACCAGATTGTGCGGCCCTCGATGGCTGCAAAGCCTCATCTTACATTTTCAAAGGATGGGCCTTGAGTGAAAGTTTGGCCCAGCCTGCGGACTTCAACCTTGTATTTTTATATACTGATAAACCCAGTGCGCCCGAGCTCGCCTCCCACCTATAGCCGCCTGAAAACCTGCTCTGCTGTGCCAAGGTTCTAGTTAAATGTTAACTCGCTTATCTGTAGTATGTAAAAATTCTTCTCTCCGGCTGACCAATAAACAATATTTTTTTTTTTCTCGGGTCCAGTGGAGAGCTGGTTAAGCCCAGTAAAGGTCATTTTAAACCTTATTAATTGCATTTCAGTCTTTAACTGTGTGCCCATATATCATAGAAAGTCAAGGATGGGCACAGGAATTTTGCACTTGTAGAGCCAGCTCATTATTATTGATGCCGCTCCCTCGTGGTCATCCATTTGAATTCATAAGAATTAGGATGGCAGATCCGTCACCCTTTGTGGAGATTTGTTTTGCTGGAATTTGTCTGACCCTCTGAGACCTCCCCGAGGTCAAGGGTTAGCTTATCTTTTAAATGCCCTGAATATTTTTGTTTCTCATGCATAGCGTTGTTAGCATACATGGGCATTTAAGATCAGTTCTGTGTCTGGTTTAATCCCATACTGAGCCTGCGTAGGCCCGCATTGTTGCCATTCTTGTGACAATATGCGTCAACAAGAGACTTTTGCTTGGACACTATTCTCTGGTGCGCTGGTGACATCCTGCTTCCTATATTAGTTTAATACCCAAACGCGGCATTCCGCATGCGTCAATAATACTTCAGCAAGCTGAAGCAAATCACAAATACCCAGTACCCGGTCATAATGCGCCATATACTGCCTGTCAATAGAAGGAGGTGAGTTGGGGTTCCCCTTATCATAGGCAACATAAAAGGAAATTGGTTTATATAAAATGATTTTAAATTAAATATGTACCTTACCAATAATGTACGTTTTCTTGATATAGGGCCTTATGTGTCTTATGTGCCAGTTTTTTGTTGGTGTACGTGTCCGCATTGGGGAGATTACCCTCACTTCCTGTGCTGGTGTCACCTTGATACCTACAAGTGATTGTTAGCTTAGTGACTATCTGCATGGGGTTTGCATGTTTTCCCTGTGCTTGTGTGGATTTCTTCCCACACGCCAAAGACATGCTGGTAGGTTAATTAGCTCCTGTCTAAATTGGCCTCGTATGTATGCATGTGAGATGGGGACCTTAGATTGTAAACTCCTTGAAGGAAGAAACTGATGTGAATGTACAGTATGTAAAGTGCTGAGTAAATTGTCGGTGCTACATAAATATATGTAATAAATAAATAGTGATATAGTGCCGTCTTTTCCTCTCATTTTGGATTTTTCTTGCTCTGTGTCCTCATCAGGGGGATTCCCCTTACTTCCTGTCCCAGTGTTACCCTATTACCTGTATAACAAGTGAGGGGGAATCTCCCCAACAAGGACACAGACACCAATGAAAACAGACTCTGCTTAAAAGTGTTTTACTGCTGTCTTTGGGGTTCACTTATAAAAGCTCCACCTGGTTTGCACGTCACCAGCGCCCCATGATGGAGCTGAATTCCTATACTGGTCAGCACCATCTAGGGGCACTAGTGCCATGTAAACCGGGCACAATTTTTGTAAATGAACCCTTTAGTCCAGGGGTAGGCAACCTCGACACTCCAGCTGTGGTGGAACTACAAATCCCATTATGGTTCTGCCTCTGGGAGTCATGCCTGTGGCTTTCAGGAGTCTTGCAATGCCTCATGGGACTTGTAGTTCCACAACAGCTGGAGTGCCAAGGTTGCCGCCTTAGATCTCTTTTAAAACAAGACCAAAATGCAAACAAAAGTCACAGGCACTCCAGCATGTGGAAAAGTCCATATTTATTGACTTCTAAGGTGTCACATCATCAAAGGCGACGTTTCGGAACAACAAAGTCCCTTCCTCAGTCAAAACAAAATTCTCTCTACGATCCTCCATTGTTTTTTGTCGCACATGCGGCCCGTATGAAAGCAACGGACTAAAGGCCGCCTCTTCTTCCAGGCCACAGTGAGCCAACGTGTCCCACCACGCCATGGCGTCTTTAGAGCGGACATGATGCCCCCGGTGTCTGTTTTCCATGAATAAATGATGAAGTAGCGCTCATGACTGTGTTGCGGTTGGTACACAATGCTGCACAGCCCGCAGTTGTGTACTTGTTGTGTCAGACACATAAATACAGAGACAACGGATGAAAACTTCCTGCATTGTTTATCTTCAAAGCAGCAGTTAGAATGTGAGCAATCTGTACAAGCAGTCATACAACCCCATGAATATTTAATGGCTGCTCTTTGTGCGGGAGGGGACGGGCTCGCCCTTTCTTTACAGTTACCGCAGCTCTTCTGACAGGAACCGTACCGGCCTGTTCCAATGAACATTGAGCGCGAGGCCCTCAGGTTTGGTGTAATGCAGCTTCAGCAGTTTTTACCATCCGCATTCATTACATTGTGCTGTCCCGAGTGAATCAAGGCCAAGAGCCATTTTGTTTATGGGGCCGCTCGATAATATGAATGAAATGCATTTCCTTGTTCGGGCTGGCCCGCTGAGGGATTGTTTTGTAGAGCCCGTGGGGATTGTCTAGTCAGCTCTATCTGTTTAAGAGGAAATGGCTGCCTAAAGTGAATCTTTTTCTTTAGTTTTGGCTACAGTAGGTCAGTTGATGAAACTACAAATGCCAGCATGCCTCAGCCTCTGGGAGTCATGCCTGGAGCTCTCAGAGCCTTGCAATGCCTCATGGGACATGTAGTTCCTTAACAGCTGGAGGGCCGAGGTTCCCTACTCCTGGGGTAGGTAATCGGCATGACAGACATTGATGGCCGCCTCCATACTTCCTCCATACAGCTTTCCATTAAAAGGCCACCAATATGCCATTTGCTTCAGGCTTTAGACTTCGGATACCGGCTAGAGGTGGCCATGTCTGCTCTGGCTTCCTTTGCCTGAGTCTGAGTGCAATGATTAAAATATACATTTCGGTAGAGATCTCCTTCAAATTGACCGCTCAGCTCCATTGGATGCAGACGGGGCCGGAACGCCATTTCCCAGCAGGCCGTTTTTATCATGCTTTCCTCTGTGATGGTTGTGGCTGCTAACTGCTCTCCATCCAAGTAATATAAATAATTGCAGCCTGCATCTAATGAAATTATAATATCTTAGTATTATTCCCTGAGGATTTGCAAAATAAACGTGCTAATGAAATGAATAAAAAAGGGAGTGGAAGCAAAAAGATTGCGTCATTCGAAGCCTGGCTGAATGCTGCAATCACAGATCATTCCAGGTCCTTCCAGTTTTATTAGTCTCACTTTTCCTGTAGGGCAAGTGTAGGCAAACTCCAACCCTCCAGCTGTGGTGAAACTCCATATCCCATCATGCATCTGCCTCCGGGAGTCAGGCCTGTGGCCTTCCACTGCTTTAGGGCTTTGAATTCATTTACAACATGGAGACTCTTATATGCAGTTCTAAGGCAAGAAATCAGGTGGGGAAATATCTCCATTTAGGTCAGGGGTGGACAAATGAATATGGAATTCAGGAGCCAGTCTGTCCAATCCAGGAGCCAGTAAGATGTTTTACATGTGACAACAGGTAGAGGAAACCTCAAGAGTTGGGAGCCAGCAATGGCGACATGGCTCTTTGGGATTTGTCAGATGCGGAGTACCTGAGGGTGATTTAGCACGACAAACACCAATTACAAAAACACCAATCAACTTTGAAATAAAAAGACAGGGACACATTTAGATCCACCTGGCTTGGAAATATTTGGACAGACCCATGCTTACCTTTGAGACATTCACACACATACAGGTGCGGATCCTCATGTGAAGGACTATACCATGTCCTGGATGAAAGTGGAAAGCCCATTTAAGGTATCAAAGCTTTCACTATGTACGCTTTGGTACTTTAAAGGGTAGCATCTACTGTTGCCAATTCCAATGAAAAGGAGATCTTTTAATCAAATGATATAGAGATCCATTTGAGAGTATTAAAATCCTTGTCCCATTCTAAGCCCTGATGAAGGGTGTGGTTGCCTCTGAAACACGTTGGCAGTTTTTTGTTCGCAGGAACTGTGACAGTTAAAGGAGAACCATGAGGTGAGTGCTTTTCACTCACCTCATAGTTCTAGCCGACCTGTGACAATGAGATTGTCACAGGTCGGCTCAGTAGATCGGGAGGTGAGCGAACACATACCGGCGTTCGCTCACCTCTCGATCCTGTCACGGACACTACACACCGCGGCGTCTCCCACCCTCTCGATCCTTGCACGGCTCTCTGCCGTAACAGGGGAGGGGATGGATTCCCCGCTCCGATCCGCCAGTGCTGACTGGCGGAACGGACGGGGGAGGGGGGCAGGTACAGCTGGCTCTTCCTCTAGATAGGCAGAGCCAGCTGTCAGTCATGCAGCTGGGCGGATCCCGGCACAATTGTCTGGATCCGCTTCAGTTGCAGCGTCTCAGTATAACGCGAGCAGCAGCTCGCGGTATACTGTGACGGTATACTGAGCTACAGCTCGCGGTATACTGAGCCTAGGGTGACGGGAGGACGCTAGTTTGTGTCCTCCCGTTACCCTAAGGAGAACTATGGGGAAAAGCCTTAACCCCATAGTTAGTTCTGGTTGCCCAACAAGAGAGTCCTCTTGTTTGGAAACTGCCTTGTCGGTGCCATTGAACCCATTTGTGAGCTTTTCTGTGTCTGTACCATTTGGGTGGTTACGGAGGCCCCCAGCACCTTTAACCCCTTCATGACTGAGGCCTTTTTTTTCATTTTTTGTTCTTCGGGACGCAGAAGCGATCTGGACACAGGTAAGTCGCCAGGATCGCTTCTGTTGTAAAGCCGACAGTCGGCTCTACAAGTTTAAACAGAGTCCCGGCGGCAAAAGTCACCGGGAGTCTGTTTAAACAGCCCCGATGCTGGCGACGTACACTGTACGTCGTCAGTCACGAAGGGGTTAAAAGTAGAAAAAGTCAGGCAATCAGCAGCGTGCGACGATGCTGATCTTTCACAACCCTCATTAATGCTGACCGCATATATAAAACAATCAATTCGATATTCTGATCAAACGTAACCATTATCTATTGCTCTTCCTATATGACCACTTTTGTCAGACGGAATTGAAGAAGAGAAAGCTGTCAGGTGTGCTGGAAAATTCCACTCATTTTGAAGCCGATCGATCAATTCCGGGACAATTACCTACATATTTGACGTACTTTTTCCAATACGCGTTTTACACTGAAAACAATGGTTGCTGGAGACAGAAATACTGCTTGTGTTGCATCAAATTACCTTTTTTTAGACATGCAGTCGATGAGAAATGTTGATCAGTCAGTAATCAATGGATGTCCGGAGAAGGGGGTCTGTTTATAAAGAAACCGTCATGTGATTCAGATTCACAACCCCTGACAATACCCACACATGCGTCAGTTAAATTATCAAGTTCCCAGATTCCGATCAAGAATTCCATCTATCATCTCCATGTTCATGTGCGCTACTTCAATGGTGCCTACGACAGGGCTGGACAGATCCCAGGAGCCAGGTCGCCAATGCTCACCTAACTTTTGATGTTTCCTCTATTTGTTGTTAATGGAGCTGGCTACTAAAAATTCCTGCTGATCCCAGGATTGGACAGAATGGCTCTGGGGGTCCCTGGCCTATGACTATAGATGATTGCTTTGGGCAACTTTACTGATCGATAGAAGATATCAAATTGGAATTGGAATTTCAGAGTGTAGAGTAGATGTAAACTCTAAGGGCCAGTTCACACCATAGTGTTGTGCTAAATGCATGACATCCATGCATTCAGCGCATGCTATCACACCTAGTGTGCGTTACCGTGCACTAGGTGCTTTTTGAATGGCAACGCAAACCCGTGTGTTTAGCGCAGTGCTATGGCGTGAACGACCCCTAACTGCATAACATTTAGTTTACCTTAGCACATTCTTTCATAAACAAATGCCCTTTTGCTCATCCTTTGTTGCATCTCAGTGCTACTGATCGTTTGCAGTCTCTTTACAGCCACTTCCTGTCTACATGCACTTCAGCTATGGCATTCCATAGGGTGGGGTTTCTGATGGTGACAACAGTGGAACATACTTGAAGAATGTGTGTTGAAATGGCCGCTTGTAGTCTCCATCGGCAGCCTGTGTGACAGGGTGGATGGCAGGAGAACAGCTGGGGGACAGGGACACAGTGTCATACCTGATGAATGGACCCTAAGTGGCCCCGAAGCGTTGCTTTGTGACGAGATGTGTGCACATCAATAAAATGACCACTCGTTGAAGATTTTACTTTGGTGTGCTGGTGATATACTTTACTCCTTGGATTTAAAGTGGCGCCATCCACTATCACAGCAGCAACCACTTTAAAAGGGACATACCAGTAAGGAGTGCGGTGGGAACCTCTTTGGATCTTAGGGACAAAGTGTTGTTACCCTAACAGGAAGTGCCTGTAAGAAAATTACTTTTTCGAAATGGGTTTACATATACTTTCAACTGTCATAGTTGTTATTTTTATCAATAGCTTTTTGCTAGAAAGTTACAACTCAGAGCTTTAACCTTTGGAAGGCAAACGCATGATTGAATAGCTGGAATGAAGGGGATAAAACATCCAGGGACGACGTAGCAGCCATGTAATGTGACCTGATCCTGGACTTGTTTTCGGAGGTGTAGAGGTTAAATGCCTTTCCCATCACACAAGCGTTCTTATCAGGATGATAGCAAAGTTTCGGCCAAGTGGGGGTAGAAGTGAAATTCCTGCCTGTCAAGGTGTGCTGCTTCCCCTCCCCCTCCAGGTTTCATTGACTCACCTTTGCTCAGCTCTGGCTGCTGGTGATGACATCATCCTTTCACCTGAAACAGCAGCGAGGCCGACCGAGCAATGCGAGACATGACAAGACAAACATCCTGGAAACAGGCGGACCGGTATTGTGTAACCTGCCTGCAGTGTCCTTATATGGAGACAGATACCCGCCGCAGGGATGGAGGTCCAACCCAACACCAAGTGCTATCAATACTCTTTCTGTGCCATTTGTTTTCAACTTTGATTATTTAAACTTGCAGCTTTTTTAAACTGTTTTGCAATGAATAGCCTGTGTTGCCTACGGACCTCAGTAGCTAAAGCTTAGATTATACATGCATCTGCATTAGGGGACATCACTCCTTCACCTCCATCCACCTACAGGACTATGCAGATGTTTTTCTAGTTAAGCTGGTCATACACTAATAGTTTTTTTTTAGTTCAGCCTGTCCAGTTTATAAACTTTGCTGCTTTTTGTTTAAATTCTTCTTTTATGTGCTCCATGATTTATAGCTGAGCTCCTGTACATGACTTCCAATGTATTCTGTTCCAAGGGTGTGTCTTCTCTGAGCGTGCACAGCAGGTCATTATCAGTAATGAAAGGAGTACAAATAAAACAGGTTTGTCACCTTGACTGTATTATACGGCCCTGTGCAGAGGAGGGGAGGGCGGGCCCATTCCTCTCTTCCGTTGGGGGCCACACACCTGCAATGTAGCGAGTTGTCTCTATCTTGAGGATTGCACAGACATGTTTTTTTTCTAAACTTCCTGCATTCCAACCTGAAAAGACGGGCGCAGGGAGGTGACTATATCCCCCCCCACCCCGGTCTTCATGGAGACATATTAAAGAGATAAATGATGTCCTAAGAGGTGCGGACTGTCTCTGGGTACACAAGGTCTACCTGAGGTCACCCAGTCAATAAGTTTGGCGTTTTAACAAGAATGCATTGTTCTCTTGTAATCCTCCAAAATATCAGAGCGTTCCCGAGAGTCTGTAAACATTCTAACATGGAGGTGCTAGGTGACTAGAGGTGGACATAGACATTAGTGAACAGGAAGTGACCGGAGGTGCATGCCCAATGGGACCGTCTCACTATTGACTCAGATCACAAAGCCTGAGCACAAGGATAAGGGTCTTTATTTTAGTCATGTGACTCTTATTTTCAAATCTCATTGGCTGAAAATAACCCACTTTTTGAAAAATATGAATCCTTCACACATTTTAACGCAATCCCGCCCAGTTTTTCAGTGGTGGAATATGTGACCAGCAAAAAGAGAAGAATTCCAAGGCTTTCTCAGCTGTTTCAGGGCAGGTCGGCATCGCAAATCGTATGTGCAGGAGAACCGATCTGCCCTTGAACAGCTGATCAGTCCTGAAATTTCACTTCTATCTGACTTCGTGGAATGTGAGATCGCACTGCACATACTCCTGCACATACCATCTGCGATGCCGATCTGCCCTGGAACAGCTGAGAAAGCCTTGGAATTTTTCACCTTTTACCGGTCACATATTCCACCGCCGAAATGGTGGGCGTGACTACTTTAAAATGTGTGACCACATGACCGGTCACACATTCCAACCCAGTGACAATCTTTGATAAAACACTGGTTTCTCCTCAGAAAAGGAGAACCCCTGTTGATGAAGGGGGCGTGGGAACCCAGGACTTGGTCTACGAGCACTTTAAAATTTTGTTCAAAACTTTATTTGAGCTTTAAAACCCAGGGTTGGATCCCCTGACAGGGTTTTTTTTTTTGCTCGCTGTGCACCAATTTAAAGTGCAACTGAAGCCAAAACTGTTTAAAACATTTTTGATAAAGTGGTGGAGAGGGATTAGAACCCATGTCAGGTTTTTATTGATATCTGCGTCCCTGTTTGTCCTGGTGACCGTTATCACTGAAAGTGGAAGAAAATTCCATATTTTAGGTTGTCACCAGAACAAGAATAGATAGGTCTTCCAATGGGGACACTAGTTCTGACCACCAGGGATTTCCCTCACTTTGGAGGGGTTTCCTCTCACTTCCTGTTGTGGCTGTCAGACAGGAAGTTAAGGGAAATCCAGCCAATGGGACAGAGCTGGCAAATTAAAGCTGTCAGGGCACATAACTCTCCCTTACTCCATCCAAAATTAAAAAAAAAAGTTTTGGCTTCAGTTCTACTTTAAAGAATCACTCTCACTTTCTTTACTGGTGAAAATTGTCACTGGGACAGAAAGCGCAAGGAATTGTATAATTTTGGAACAGAAGGGGGTGTCTCTCTTATTGGGACAGCTGTCAAAGGTGGGATCCTCACTTGGGAGATATATCTTCTCACATCCTGTTATGTCTCCAGAATTGAGGGTCAATCACCACAACAGGAACACAGCCAGCAATACATATCTGGCAGAGGTTATATTCCTAAATTAAAGAAATTGCCTAGAGTTCCACGTTTCGTGGTTTTGGAGTCCAATGTTCCATTACTACCAAGGATGCTTTTTGCATGGCAATGTTTTTCTTCAATCCATGCTGCATGGAATTTCTCCAGGTTCTCTGGTTTCTTCATGAAATGTTCTGGTGGGCTAATCGGCTTCCACACAGTTTGGCCCAACCGTGATAGAGATTGTGAGCTCCTTTGGTGAGCAGTGACCGGTCCAATGTTCTCTATATAACATACATTCTGTGTTGTCAGTTCATCCCATCCATACAGTCCAGACATCAGAGGGGGCATTCGTGTTATGAGGTGAACCAGTATGGCCGAACCAAGGAACACAAAGGAGACCTCCATGACTGAAATGGTGACGTCACATATGTGGTAGCCATTTTGTTTGGGGATTCCAGTTATTGAGCCGCTTATTGTTAGTTAACTTGAAACCATGGACAATGATACATTTTAACCTTCTGGATAAGTTTGGTGGCCTTCTGAAGCGCTACATATATCTCCAGGGTTATGCAGACCAAGGCAGATAACATCCTGCCTCTAATTATGGCCTATGGCCTTGATTCTTGTTGCAGTCACTAATGCCCTTCTCTTCCTAGCCGTGTACAACTAATATTATCCGACATCCTCACAGTGCAGGAAATGTAGAACGTCACATCTCTCACATTTCTCATTGCCATTTTATTGGACAGCATCCATGGTTATGATTGACAAAACAGCCTAAAGTGTATTTAAACTCAAAAATAAGGATGTGGTGGCTGCATTTGTCTTCTTTTCTGCAGGCTGAGAGCATTTTTAGCAAGTACAGAAAATACCTGTTATCAAATACTGTTAACCTTGCCAGAAACATCCTGTGAGTAAGGATGAGCTTAGGGTCAGACCAAACCCGGTCCGGACCTGAGTTTTCCGAACCAACCACCAAATCCGCTGCAGGCTGGGACATTCCCCGCCCCAGTGGCATCACAAGGGGGATGCGGGGGGTACGGCACACACCTGGGTGTCACAATTGCAGGGGTGACACCAAAATGACCGACAGTCATTTTGGTGTCACCCCTCTCTAAAAAGTACGGGCACATCGGTCATGGACCGAGAGCCCGACAGTGTCAGGAGAGAGGAGGGGACCCGGCGGCATATCTCATCCCGCCGGGTGAACGTCCCCTCCTTTCTCTGCCGGTGTCCATCACCAATGCCTGCTTTCATGTGCGTGGTGACGTCACGCGCGTTGACGAGATGGCGGGGTGTCACCCGCTCTAGAGACCGGGTGACACCCGGCCTCGGGACGCCCCTGCCCCGCCCCACAGTTGGACATTAACAAAGGGACGGATGCTTGTACTGACATGGCCACATGGTCATATTAGGGTCAATGTAATTGACCAAATACAGCCATGTGACCATATAAGACCAGGGGGGAGGCAAACTCTGACCCTCCAGCTGTGGTGAAACTACAATGCCCATTATGCATCTGCCTCTGGGAGTAATGTCTGGGGCTGTCAGAGTCTTGCAGTGCCTAATGGGATTTGTATTTGCACCACAGCTGGAGGACTGGCGTTTGCCTACCCCTGATATAAGGTCAATGACGTCACAGCATTTTGCCCCTTTGCTTACATGCAGCTGAGGGTGGGGAATTCCCTGGGCACAGCTGAGTGGGTGGAAGCGGATAGCACTTCTTTCTGGGTTTCATTAGATGGGGTTAGTAGAGCCATGGAACACAGTAGCCTGTAGTATTAGCGGATCCAGGAAAAAAAAAGTTGCCGGCACTCCATTAACATTCAACGCAGGTGTAACTTTATTGTTCGGGACAGACAGACAGACAGACAGACAGACAGACATATATAGTCTCCCTGCTTGGACCACCCCCGCGTACGCGTTTCACCCAATAGACTTGGCCTTGATTTTGGCACCCAGTTGGCCTGCATTCTCAGAGTATTAGATTCCGGCCTCTTTCATAATAGAAGGATTCCGGCAATCCTAGGAATTCAATGAGCCAGCAGCCAGCTTAATGAAAAGAATGCTAGGATTCATCCTGACACCCGGTAAATAAGCTGCATCTTCTGAATGTGACTACATTTAAAATAAAATACAAGTCTGACTGGAGCAATGGCTGCTCACAAAAATGCGACAGTTTACCTTTTACCGCCCCCAATACAAACACACGTTCTTTTCCTATTAAATGGTACAAATAAAAGGTGTTTGTGCTGCTCACATAGACGTCACGCACAGACCTCGCTCCAGTTCCCCTTCAGATGTCGTCCTCTATGGGTTGTGTACACAGGTCGCTGTCTCTGTAACAATGAAGGAGATCTGGTTACACGCACAGCGACAGTGTTGGTTTTAGGTCTGCACGTAAAGATGTCACCCCTGCACTGCAAGTGTATCTAGGGGGCTCATATAAAGCAGATACACTCACCTGATCCATGGTTCTGTCGGGCTGCTAGACCAATCCCTGTAGCCTCTTCTCCCCTGGGCTCCAGGGGTCTAAGGACCTGTGACATCATCACATCTAATACAGGCCCGTTGACTTGCATTACATGTGAAGACATTGAGGGAGATTTCGTAACCGGAGTGGAGGAAAAGAGTGGTGAGCACTGACCACCGCCAGACTGAGGATCAGGTGAGTATATCTGCTTTATTTGAGCCCCCTAGACCAGAATGAGTACCTAACCCTTGCAGTACGGGGCGAGCCCCCCTACAAGGGTAGTTTTGATTTTAACATCCCTAAACTTCAATTAAAGATTACTTTCAACGATATATATATAAACCCTGACAATGAACTTTAATAATGTTCTTCCTTTTGCTCTGTTATAAATACCATTGAAAGCTTTTTTGTTGTAATTGAAAACAAATATCTGCCAGAGATGTAAATGCCCCCTTACGTTGAGTAGCTAAGGAAAGGGATTTGTAGTTCATAAAAAGACAACTGGGCAGGGCTGACACCATTTCCTTTGATTTCAGTCCAGAAAGACATGTGTTGTCAGCCAATGAGAAACTGGGAATGTGGTGCCTTATAGGCAGATCAGCGGGTATTTTTCTATGGTTGTCGGGTCTTTAGAGGGATAAACCATGGGGAAATGTACTGTATATGCATTGTACTGCATATTTTTTTTTTCCCCAGACTTACACTTTAAAGGCTTAACTAATACTGATTGAAACTTGCAGATAGTAAAATCTGTACACACTGCTGTTATACAATCCGGAGCCCTTGTGTACAAGGCCCTAGGCAGCAGGGTGGGGTGTTATTTTGAGCCTAGTTCTTCAGGGTTAATATGTAGCCATTGTTCTATTCATGGGGATGATCAATGATCGGGGCTTGTCAACAGTCATCCAAGTGCAGAACAAATTGAATGTCTACAGGTAGTCAACAGGATAATGACACATATGTCACCACTGGGGCAAATTGCAGTGTTTAGTGCAGGGGTAAGCAACCTCGGCAAGCCAGCTGTGGTGGAACTACAAGTCCCATGAGGCATTGCAAGATTCTGACAGCCACAGGCATGACTCCCAGAGGTAAAGGAATGATGAGGATTTGTAGTTTCACCACAGCCGGAGTGCCAAGGTTGCCTACACCTGGTGTAGGGGGTTCAGTCTTGTATAATTGTTCCTCTTTTGTCTGCTTGTGAATCAATGAGTCACAATATACAAATAAGTGTTGGCTGGCTTTTTTATCATAAATAGATCATAAAACCTCCCAGCAGAGTCAGAGACAAGGCAGATGTATGTGAAACGAATGCAAATAAGGTCTGTGCTGCGTTCCACCTCCAACCTAATGAATGTAGTCATGAAGTATGGAAGGGGTTGTGTCATGTCTAGCTGTAGTACAGAGAGCCAGACAGACAACTACAAATTCCAAAAGTAAAGAGGAACTCATGGTTAGCGCCACTGCAAGGGCTAATGTTGTTTTTTCCTGGAGTGCTTGTTTTGGTCTAGGGCAGAGGAGGGCAATTCATTTTCTCAAGGTGCCACATGAGAAACTGGGGCTGTTGTGGAGGGCCAAATGCTGCGGGACGGGGGACTTGTTTGACCTCACCAATGACTGTAGAGGAAATGGACACCTGATGTCATTGGTTGCTAGAACCCCAGTGGTCCTAGCAACCAATGTCTGCAGTGGAGGTGGACACCTGACGTGATTGGTTGCTAGAACACCAGCGGTCCTAGCAACCACTGCAGAGGAGGTGGACACCTGACGTGATTGGCTGCTAGAACACCAGTGGTCCTAGCAACCATTGTCTGCAGAGGAGGTGGACACCTGACATGATTGGTTGCTAGAACATCAGCGGTCCTAGCAACCAATGACTGCAGAGCAGGTGGACACCTGATGTGATTGGTTGCTAGGACACCAGCCAACAACTGAAGAGAAGGGTGCCTGCGTTGGGCAATGGCTTGCAGTGGATGCACTGGCCTTGGAGATAAGTGGTCACTGCTGCAGGACCGAGGATCAGGTGAGCATATCTTCTGTATTCCAGCCCCTAGACCAAAGCTATTAATCTTTGCAGTGTGGGGGTAGCCCTAATGCAAGGGTTAATTTTGGTACTAACTAAATTCCCTCTCTAATTGAAAAAAAACCAAAAGAATAAAATGCATTTCTAATGACGTCACGCATGCTTACATGCTGGTGGCCATATTGGTGATTTACAAAGAGAGGAGGGGACATTCGCTGCTGGAATAGGGTATGCCTGCCTCCTCTCTCGTGCAACTCTCGGGCACTCGGTCATGGACTATGTAGAGGGGGTGACACCAAAATCACTGTCAGTCATTTTGGTGTCACACCCTCTGATGGTGCCACCCGGGGCAGGCCGCACTCCCCCCTTGTGACGCCATTGGCTCATTGGATTTCTGGCAGGATAAACAGGTTTTTTTTGCATTTATATAACAAGACCTCTTTAATGGTATAATTAACAAAGCAAAGGTAAGTAAATAAGAGAAGTTGATTGTTAGGGTTTATATAGACTTTAATAACCACGGTTCCTAATATATCAGCAGTTGGGGTTCCTGAAATTATTAGCCAACAACATGGCTGTGTGCCGGGGACAGGTGCACTTTATAAGCTGTAGCCGGGGATGCTATCTTCCTCTGGCTTGTGTCTGCACAATGAGACTGAGCTGTGTTGTTACAGAAGGACATGCTCTGCTTACTCCTCACAGCTCCATGTACAAGAGCGCGCTTGTATTCACGCTAAAGCGCTCTCTGCCTGGATCTTGTTTCGTCTTCTAATGCGGCTCGATTGCATTATAGTGTAGATTTAACAAAGCCGAGACAAGCGGTGTATTGTGAGCCAGAGTGATCTGATTACAGCGTCCCATCGCAGCTGCTTGGATGTGATTGTACGATGATGGCGGTATCAGATCACCCGCTTTCCCAGCGTCCTCCACACCTGCGACAAGAGCTAACGCTGAGATTTGGGAGTGAGCCCATTAGAAGACACCATGTGGCGGCCATATTAGTAATAGCAGCAACTGAGTGATGTGCTCCTGGCTACACCTATTTAAAGGCCCAGAATGGTAATTTGGCAAAGCCGGCATTTGCTACTGGCAATGATGAGCCACTGTTCTGTCTTGTGAATCAAATGCACATCAAGATTTACTGGTAAAGTCCAGCACCAGGTTTTTTTTTTGTTTTTTTTTTTAAATATTCACCCGGGCAGTGTTTAAAATAAAGCAGCTAAGGCAGTATTTAAAATAAAAGCAGCAACAATACTCACTTCCTCTTCAGAGCTATCCTAGACGGTAATACCTTTTTGTCACATGATGTCCTCAGTCGTACTGTAAGTGCAGGGTGTCAAGGACACACCCCCTAAGCGGCATCACCACGCTGCCCTTCATTCATAGTGTAATGATGCAGAAAGTGGCGCTGACATCATCATGTTACCATTACATCATCAAGGAATGCCCACATTTGGGAGAAGTTACCTTTTTGTCATATGACATCCTCAGTCTTCCAGGTTGTCATACTGTGAGTGGAGGGTGTCATGGAGCCACCCCTAAGGGGGCAACACCACGGTGCCCTTCATTCGCAGTGTGATGACAGAGAAGGTGGCACTGACATCAGCATGTTATCATTGCATTTTGGAGATGATCCAAAGAGGATCCTGAGCGTCACATGACCAGCTTGACTACTTGATTGACAAAGGTAGGTATAAAAAACAGCATAAAATATTGCTGCTGGGGGCAATTGGGGGGAGGGGGGGGGCAACCTGGTGCTTGGAGTTTTGAGGTGTGTCACCCTAAAAGTTGTCCCCAATTGAAGACATTCCCCCACCCCCCCATTGCTGTTTTAGTGACAACTGTAACATTTTGAATTTGTCTCCATGTTGTGTTCAGATGACAAAGGTGAATCTCACACAGACCGCAGTAAAAACAGAGGTTATAACCCTTCCCCATTGTATCCGAAACTAACCCCAATCATAAAAAATCTCACAATGCAGGGGGCGGAGCTTCTACAACAAGGTGTTATCATTTCAACGTTCCTTGCCCAGTATAGTGTCAGTACAGCTGCATGTATATGCCTGTATATATACACTTGCTTCACCTTATACAGTATATTTGCTGTTATCCGGTATTCAACTAACCAGAACTCTCATCTAACCAGAAAAAAAAATCCCCTGTGTACTCTCTGTTCTGCGGCATGTATTATCCTGGAAACAATCACGTGTCTATTTGTCTTAATTTGCTTTTGATTACTGCATTTCAATATTAATATGAAGTCAATACAGAGTGATATGGTATAGTATGCGGTATGACATTAGTTAGACCTATTTTTAATAGTACCTCTCAGGCAACCAGAAACTACATTTATCCGGAATCTACCAATCCCCGTGGATGCCAGATAACGGGGAGTTTACTGTACTATGAAATAAGCTTGCTTTATATTTTTATAAGAGGACGTCATCCAGAATAGGCTCAGAACAAGGCAGATGTGTATTTCTATTTGTGCTTAGTACCGATGTAAGACCTGGTTTAAGGTAAGCTTTGTTTGTTATTGACAGCTGCATCTGACTTCCCGTTCACAAAGAGCTTAGCATTAATATTTCATAGCCGAAGCAGCTTATTCCTATACAAGCTGTTCCAAACCGGTGGCCAAAAGTACTATCACCTGTAAGCTGTAACAAAATAGCATCCCCTGTCGTTTGATTGGCTTGTATTTATTATATTTATTCTTGCAAAGCTGCTGTGTGAAAATATCATATATGGGCAAATGTTTGTGGACACCTGGCCATGACACCTATATGAGCTTGTTGGACATCCCATTCCAAAACCATGGGCATTAATATGGAATTGATGCCCCTATGGTGCTATAGCCTCCACTCTTCTGGGAAGGTTTTCCACAAGATTTTGGAGTGTGTCTGGGGGAATTCACGACCAAAGGAGCATTTTTGAGGTCAGATACTAATATTGGATAAGACCTGGCTTACTGTTGCCAATTCAGTTCTTCCCAAAGGTGTTACATAGACAGGGACGTCCCAAGGCCGGGTGTCACCGTAGACACCAAGTGACACCCCGCCATGACGTCATCGCGCATGAAGTCACCACGCGCGTGCCCGGCGATGTCATCGCGCAAGCGCGGTCTTCTCATTGACGCCTGTCGGCGGCCATCTTGGTGATGAACGCGGCAGAGAGAGGAGGAGACGTTCACCCGGCGTGATGAGGTATGCCGTTGGGTCCCCTCCTGACACTGTCGGGCTCTCGGTCCATGACCGTGTGCCCGACATTTTAGAGGGGGTGACACCAAAATGACTGTCGGTCATTTTGGTGTCACCCCTCCAACGGTGTCACCCGTGTGCGGGCCGCACCCCTGTTGAGATGCCACTGTACATAGAGTGTGCAGACCACTTACGTTCCTCCACACCAAACTCATCAAACCATGTCTTTATGGTGCTGGCTCATGAAATGATGCGGGAAAAGAAAAGGGCCTTCACCGAAATGTTTCCACAAGGTTGACAGAGCACCATTGTCTAACATGTCTTTGTATGATGTAACATTAGCAGAACCCTTTCTTTGGAAACACCAAAACTCAACCATTTGGGGGAGGAGGGCACATGCTTTTGGACATTCAGTTATGTGTGATGGTCATCAAGTGTCCAGAAACATTTGGCAAATATAGGTTAGTTTATCCAGTTAGGAATGTAGGGTAGATCTGTGCGTTGTATAGAAAAAAAGATATGTTTAGCTGTATATAAAAATAAAGAACCTGCACACTCCAAGCAGTTAGTTAGCTACATACAGAAAGTATAAGGAGAACCTAAAAGTGCCCTTTTTATCATCTAGAGTGGCCATACCTTGGTAGAGCTGTCCCACGTGGACGGGCGAACTCCATGTATCTTTGGATCTTAGCAGTGGCTACATTGTAGCTATAATCTTGGCACAGGCCCTTGATTTGAATATCTTCCACAGGGAAGAATTATTCTACTGAAACTTCCAGAGCCCCCGAGGGAGCAGGCCTTAATAACACCCGCTGTTTTAACCCAACCATTAAATTTAGATGAACAGGATTAGCAGCAAGCGCAGAAACACAAACACCCCACGTAATCCTTTGATTTGAGGGTATTAGCTGCAGTACATAGGTAGGCCTCATCAGATGATGGTCTTCTTGTTTAAATTGGTTTCTTTCTTTTTTTAGCTGCCATGTGTTGAATTTTATTTTTAACGTCCTAGGTTTTCACTTTGGTTAGGACGCATGGAATATTAATCAAAGACAAGTTTACTAAGCCAGGAGTTCTTGGTTGGGAGTATCCATAGCCCTTGGGGGCATGGGAACCAAATGATGGGGGTATATTATTGGATTTCTGAATAATAAAAAATAAATGGATTCTCAGCATTATTAAACCTTAAATTAAAGTAAAGCAATCACCTTGATGTGTCAGATGACCCTCGAGTAACATTGTCAGTAACTGGACTTCAATCCATGTTTTCATTGTACAATAATGTTACTAGTTGTAGCTAGCTTGTGTATTTGTGATTTGTCATTTTCATATAAATACATTTTCTTTCAGCTGTTCTGTTCCTATCTATTCTTATGTAAAGTAAAATCAAGCTATTGACATATTTTAAAGTCATACTGGTACCTAATACGGCTGGTTACAGTCTGGTGACGGGGGTATGGGGACATATTGGGCAATCCATTGAGGGTCTGTAATTGCAATTTGCTGTTTTTTTTTAATATAAATACATTTTTTTAGCTGCTCTAGCTATTCTTATGTAAATAACAATCAAGCTATTGATATTTTAAAGTCATACTGGCACCTTATATGATTGGTTATGTTGATGATGGGGGTATGGGGACATATTGGGCATTCCATTGGGAGCCTGTAATTGTATATAAAGGTAAGAACCCCTGTACTGAGCTATGTTTGTAGGGTGGATTTGGAAATATTAAATACAGGTGAAGATTAAAGGTATACTTTCCCGTAGGAGTTTGGAAGTCACACATCAGCATTGGTGACCTTTGCTGCTGCACCATTGTGACTGGCTTATGAACAGGCAGCCGGGTTCCTGACAGGAATTTGGAGTGGCTTTGTAATAGACAGGCCTTGGCTTGTGTCTACCTGTCACCGGGCACACCTCTCGGCGTGTCTTTATAAAGCCGATAGCACAGAGCAGCCTAAGGAAGCTTGCATGACTTTATTTTATGATTAATTATGATCATTTAAAAGAGCCGCCTTTAGATTCCTTCTCAGTTCCAAAGGTCAGAAAATACTTTTTTTGGGTGTGCTGGTGATTAGCCGAAATCAATCTTCATTTTAAGATTCCACGTGATGAAAGTTAAAATAAGGCTTCAGTTGTCCCAGATCTGTCGGGTGATACATTGACTCTTTATAGGGAGGGAGCAAAGGGTGTCCTTGTGTTCATTACATTTCCAAATACAGTAAACTCTCATCTAACCAGAATAAAAATCCCCTGTGTACTCACTGTTCTGATCTGCGGCATTTCAATATTAATATGAAGTCAATACAGAGTTTATGTTATGATTTGGTATAGTATGGGGAAGGGCATTAGCTAGACCTATTTTTAATAGTAACTCTCAAGCAACCAGAAACTAAGTTTATCCAGAATCTACCAATCCTCGTGGATGCCAGATAATGGGGAGTTCACTGTACCAGAAAAGAAGCGAAGCAGTGGCACGAAGGCGAATGCTTTGGAGTGGTTTAATATGCGTCATTATGCAAGCTGGTGTCACTTGCTGCGGAGCTGAGTCCAAAAAGTACTTTTAATAGAAATAAATAGAAAGCCCCAAATAGAAATCCCCTTGTTGGGTGAAGAAATCAGCATATGCATTAAAAATAAGACATATTTCTCTTTTTGGCAGATTCCCTTTAAGTACGCAGCCTTCCTCCATTTTTTTTTTTACTGTGAACAACTTAGTGTAGTAGCTCTGACATATACCGTAAAATAGTCTTTTGTATATTTGTGATTCTAGCTGTGACAGTGACATCTACAGGAGAGTTATGGTACTGCACCTATTGTACAGAGGCACTACATGCAGGGAATGCATATGCATCCGTTTTGTAAGCTATTGAGCCAGTAATTACTAGAAAACAGGGACCGCCTTGCAGTTTTTTTTTATTTATAATAAAAGGAACTGCTAAGTATTCCACCCTTCCAGTGAACAGCCCCATGTGTCAAGTTGTAATTAGAGCCAGCACTTGTTATAGTATAATGAATGAGCTCAATTCTTACAGAGGGAGGTGCAGGTTTCAGGTGAAAACATTGTGTATTAATAGTAACGCTGCACATGGCTCTGACATTTATATCGCACGGTTATATCACACACATCACCAGGATTTACCACTTGTACATTATATCAACATTCCTTTTGTTATTTGATATGTCAAGTCAATATCAGTCAATGACAAATATTATTGCATTGGGTTTCCCCTCCTTACAATACCACTAGAGACATACATTACAACTCATGGGAAATAAAGAGTCACAGTGGTTAACTAAATAGTAAAAATATATCAAAAGTCTAAACCTTTTTTATTAGATTTCTTTTGTCTGTGTCCTATTGGAGAGATTTCCCTTCGCTTCCTGTCCCGGAGAAACAACAGGAAATGTAAGGAAACCTCCCCTGTTCTGGTGACAACTGTAAAAATGTGGGTGTCCCCAGGGCCGGATTTACTCTTTCTGCTGCCCCAAGGCCAGGTTCCTCAAAGTGCCCCCCCCCCCCCCTCCCCAATCGAGAATGGCAGACCTGCAGGCTGCATACAAGTAATCTCTGCAACATCGCCAAGATCACTTGTACAGAACAAGCGGCAGCTTCCCCGCTGTACATTTATCTCTGCATGCCAAAAGCAGGGCTAAATGTAGAAAACAACTACCTGCCCGACGCCCGGAACTGCATGTCCGGGCGTCGGGAGATAGGAATTCCACACCCCTGCTGCTTCTCTACTCCCTGCTGCCTTGAGGCCGGGCCTTGGTTGGCCTTGTGGGAAATCCGGCCTTGGGTCTCCCCTTACTCTCTGCCCTGGTTGGTGACCAGGACAAATACAGAGGGTGAGTCTCCCCAGCAGGAATATAGACTGCATTAGAAAGCCTGCCAGTGCTTCTATCCCTTACCCTTTCCGTACAAGATTTAAAAAAATATAAATTTTGAAATAACTAAATTTAAAAGATTCAAAAAATGGGTTTAGATATATATATGTTAATGCAAAAACATGATTCCATTTCTACGCAATATTTGTTAAAGCAAACTGAAGATTTTGATGAGAAAAACATTGCAACAAGAAAGAGAGTATTAAAGTAACTTGTGTATCCTAGTGATATGACCTCGATGTTCACGACTCTCACCCTTTTATTTTTCAGTGGTCTTCGTTACCTGTGGGCTGAAATCGAACATACGCTATGAATCGGAAGACTCTCATTTTGAAGTTGAAGCTGATGGCTCTGTCGTAGTAAAAGATCATCTAAAACTTCATGGACACAAAGAGTTCAGTGTTCTGGCATTGGAGGGTAACAATGTTTTATCTGAAACCACCGTGACACTGAGAAAACAACATCCTCATCACAAACAGGTGAGTCTGCTATACAGTGCTGGTAGATTGGGCTCTATGAATGGTTGGGTTCCCTTTCCATGCTGTAACCTGTGTCTGTTCCTACCTACAATAATACCATTGGAATTGGAAGTTCCAGACTGAACAGGGCTTATGGATGCTGAAGATATTCATCCTTAGCTGTATGTGGTCACTAGTGTGCACATATTATCAAGACAGCTGCAATGGTTCAGCTTCACCATTCAACAGCATATTGTTTGCTGTGAACTTAGAGTAAGGCTAAGCTCATCCAGAGAAGTGCTGGATTGTCTACAGCAGAACCATGCAAGGGTAGCAACAGGGCTGGCCCAGTGATGTTTCTTTGCATGTACCCCATGGTTAGTCATGTAATTTAGATCACATGACCAAGGGCAGGGGATCAATGGGTCTTAAGTCATTGTGCTCAGTTTTCCTTGCTCAGCTATACTATGGAAGATCTGTGAACCTACAGTAAGGCTAAGCTCACCCAGAGAAGTGCTGGATTGTCTACAGCCGAACCATGCAAGGAGAGCTACAAGGCTGGCCCAGTGATGCTTCTTTGCATGTACCCTATGGTTAGTCATGTAATCTGGATCACATGACCAAGGACAGGGGATCAATGGGCCTAAGTCATTGTGCTCAGGTTCCCTTGCACAGCTATACAATGCAACATCCATGCTGTAAAGGGGCAGAGGTAGAAGCAAAGGCAAAGAACCCAGTGGAGGACTTGCACCAAGCCCCTTACTACCTGTAGCTGTGCCAGTGGAAATGGCATATGCATTATTGCATGAATTGAGTAGATAACAGCATGTGGAAGTTCCTATCTAATTGATGACACTAATGAAGCAAAAGAGAAAAACGTTTTTGTGCATCTTACGGCAATTTGTAATGGTGGTTAACCAGCTGGTATCAGCGAACTGTAGAATAATATTCCTAGGCACAGTGCCAAGGGGACAATAATCTAGGTTCTAGCTTTGACAGCTGAGAGAACACACAATTTCAGCCATCAAACCATGTTGTCTCTGATAGCTCAAGACTTCACTAATGATCAGCTATGTTCCCAATCATGTGATCATCATAATAGCATTGATATGGGGTCACATGAGGTTTGTTTGTAAACAGACCTCGGAGGCTGCCGCTGTCACTGTATTTGCAGTATTTGGTCAGGACAACAATGTCTCCGGTCATGAAGGGGTTAAGGACTCATTTCACCCAAACTGCTACATGTTTTAGAGAGTTTGTTTAAGAGACTCCTTCCCAGCGCTGGTCATCTCAGGGAGGACTTGTCAAGGGTTTCTACTATTGGTATTGGGCTGTTGCTTTATTCCAAGGTGAAGAGTCACAGAGCTGGGAACTCCAATGGGGAGATCTGATTGCTGGGGACCCAGAATGACCTAGGGAGAAAACAGACGATTTGACCCACCTTCATCCAATCAAAATGTTTGGACAGGCCTATTTTTTAGTTAAAAAGTATTTTAATTTTCTGATTGTGATATGTTAATTATATTCATTGTTTGTGTCATCTACAGGCTGAACATTCACATCCCTCCCAGTCTGTACGTGAGCTTAGGAGACAAAAGAGAGACTGGGTCATTCCACCGATTTCATGCTCTGAAAATGAAAGAGGCCCATTTCCCAAAAGGCTCATTCAGGTACCTACGACACAAAGCTCCTCGAGTACAGAATAAAACACACGTTGGTTTATTGCCCAGAGATTTTAGCAGCAGAGAACATATAAACCTCCCTGCTGACATTGCGCCACACTCTGCATGTCTAGCACATTATATGATTTTGTGGACAGCTGACCATCATACCTATAGGAACTTGTTGGATGCTTCTTCCCAAAACTTTGAGCATTAGACCCATTATTATGACCAAATAAATCTCCAATGGAAGGCTTTCCACAAGATTTTGGAGTGCGTATGTATTAAGTTGTGCCCATTCAGCCAAAAGAACCTTGTTGTTAGGTCAGATACTAATGATAGATATGCCTCACAGTCATCCCAAAGGTGTTCAGTGGGGTTGAGGTCAGGGCTCTGCGCAGACCACTTGTGTTCTTCCAGACCAAACCATGCCTTTATGGAGCTGGGTTAGTGCACAGTGCCTTCCCCAAACTGTTGCTACAAAGTAGAAAGCTCAATATTAATATCCTTCACTGGAAACACATGAACTCAATCATTTGGAGGGTTGTCCACATACTGTGGCCAGATAGTGGAGTTGTGGTTAGATGTCCACACACCTTTAGATATATAGTGTTGTCACAGTAGTGCTATCCTAGACATCATCCATTGGTGTCATAAAAATTGGAAAATAAAAGTAGGAGGGGTCAAAAGGACAGAGCACAGTAAAGAACCACGACAATGAAACCAAGAGAGAACTTCCACCCATATAAAATATATAATTGGAAATAGTTTGCCTTTATGATATGTGATCACTCTTCTTTTTTCCCCATATTGCTTCCCTTTAGGTCAAATCCAGTAGGGCAACCGAGACTACCGTGTACTACAGCATCACAGGCCAAGGGGCCGACTCTCAACCCATAGGGACTTTCGCCATGGAGAGGAATACTGGCTGGCTTAACGTGACTCGGCAACTGGACAGAGAGACTATACCCACATACAAGGTATGCAAAAATTGCAACTTAAAACTAAAGCTAATTACCAATAAGACCTGCCTGTCCCTGCCCAGTCTAATTCTGCCTGTACATACATCAGTGTGTCATGTGTCATGTCAGGCCTCCTCATTGGCCTACCACTACACAGGCTATCCCCCTTTAAGTCTATCATGAATGCTGCTGCTAGACTCATACACCTAACCAACTGCTCAGTGTCTGAAACCCCCCTCTGCCAATCCTTCCCCTGCTTCCTTCCCTCACCCCTCTCTGCCAATCCCTCCACTGACTTCCACTCGCCCAAAGGATAACATTCTAAATATTAACAACCACTTACAAAGCCATCCACAACTCTGCCCCGGATATATCTCAAACCTTGTCTCAAAGTATCACCCTAACCATCCCCTACGCTCTTCCAAAGACCTCCTGCTTTCCAGCTCCCTCGTCAGCTCCTCCCATGCTCGCCTCCAGGACTTCTCTAGAGTCTCTCCCATCCTCTGGAACTCCTTACCCCAACCTATCCGGCTGTCTCTATACTCTGACTGCCTTTAGGCGTTCCCTAAAGACTCATCTCTTCAGGGAAGCCTATCCCACCTCAACCTAACCACTGAACCATCATGTTCTCAATCAATTCATCCCCACACAGCTACCTCCTCATGTATCACTTGCCCCTCTCTTTTAGATTGTAAGCCCTCACGGGCTGGGCGCTCCTTACCATCTTGTCTTGAATTGTATTGTGATTGTAATGTCTTCCTTATATTGTAAAGCTCTGCGCACACTGTTCACACTATATAAATCCTGTATAATAATAATGTGACTGAATATTTCATCCTTTTTTTTAAAAACATTTTTTTAATTCATTTAAAGTTTACATTTATTTATTTTTCATTTGTTTTTGCCTTTAAAATATATATAAAACTATATAATTCTTGGAAGACAGTACCAGCAAAAGAAGTGTTGCCTGTCGCCTCCCCAAAACAAACCCGTCTCACTTTTGTATCATAATTCATAACAAAATGATTGACATATCATAAAAAGATAATGTGCTCCTCTGGAACCTAAAAGCCAACTCCAGCCATAGTGGTGATGGCTAAACCCTCTGGCAGGTTCTAATTGCTGACCGCCTCTGATAGAAAGATTTTGCTCTCTGTTGTTTCGGTGACAACTCAGGAAGTACAAGGAAAAAGCTTCATGACTACGAAAGGAGCAAGAAAAGCCTGACACCGGTTTTCACCCTTTCCCCACTCTGTCCAAAACTAGAGTTATGCTTTAAAGTAGTATTAAACTCTACAAAATTTAAAAAAAAATTCACTAATGAATCCAGATCAAACAAATCTACATCGCCCATCAAAGCATTTCTTTACATTTTTGACCAAGCACTTACAGGCATCATGTTTCCAAACAGTTCCAACTCTCTTAGCTCAGCTTCACTGAACTTCCTGTCCAGTACAAGATCACAAAGGACAGTGCAGCCTGCAGCAGCTGTCCATCTGCTAGCTGGAAGAAGGAAGGAGCAGGGAGCAAAAGAGTGACTTAGATTGCTGTGCCTGTGTGTAGAGACACACAGCTTACTAGCACACACAAGGGTGCGCACAGGCTCCATAGGACCCTGCAAGGGTTAGGTACTCATTTTCATCTAGGGATGAAAATAACAAGGTTTTTCTCACCTGAACGTTGGCGTCCGCATTATCTATACACTGTAAAGGACATGATGACTCACAGAACCTTAGACTGCTGGAGTGGACTGTGAGAGAGGATCCAGGGAACGGCCTAGGAGGCAGCCTGCTCTGAGGTTCAGGTGAGTATGTAATGGATGTCAGTGTGTTTTATTTCTTCACTGATGGTGTGCACACTTTGAACTGAATTTGGCCCAGGGACAGATATATGTCGGATTCTTGATGTCTGAGTCCTAAACAAGTATAACTTTGTTTTTTTATTGCACCTAGAGTTCTGCTTAAAAGCATATATGAACCTAGACACAAAAATCTCATGCAATCAAATAACATGCAAATGTAAATTAAAATGTATTTTTCAATCTTTTAAAAGCTGCAGCTTAAAATAATACCTGGTGGTCCTTGTTTCAGACACTTCCTATTATGGGGTGACAACTGTTTCTCAGTTGAGCTCGAGTGTTGTCACCCTGTCACATGAGCACCTGATGAATTCTACAAGGGGCAGGGCCGACACACGCGTTGTATAGCCATAGTCCACAATTGTCCACATAAGTCCCAAGCTTTCCCTATGTCACATGATTCCGATCTGTTGGAAATGTATTGGAATGCTTCTCTTTACACTCTAACAGATCTCACCCTGATTTGAGTAAGCACACAAGAAGACCAAGCACTGAGCACTCCCTAGCATTCTCCTTTTTCTTGCATCTTCTGTGATTTGAAATTGGCCTTTTACAGTCTCTAGCACTATGGCAGCAGTCTCTAACAGTCTCTTGTAGCATAGCATACGTTTCTGACAGTCAATTGTAGCATAGCAGCAGTCTCTGATGGTCTCTTGTACCATACAGTAGCATACGTCATGAGTTAAGAGGTAAAGATGAGTTTCAGTTGGGGCTGAAGTTTGGCTCAAGTTTTAGGGTTAACAGCAAGATTTACTCCCAGTTGTCTGTGCAATGCTTCAGACAAGACAATTCTAAAATAATAGCCTCTTTATTTGTTTTTCAGCTCTTGGTCTATGCCGTAGCCTCAAATGGGCAAAAAGTGGAGAACCCGATTGACATTCTTATCAAAGTGACAGATCAGAATGACAATCGTCCAATTTTCACACAACAAGTGTTTGATGGCACCGTAGTCGAGGGGTCCAAACCAGGTAAGTTGTCTTTTTTTGGCAAAAATGGCCTTTACAAGTTATCAGTTGAGATGTAACCGTGACTAATGGCCCTCGAATTATTGTTGTCGCTCCAGTGTGTACCGGCAATACCCAACATGTGTGGCACATTTTCCTATGTAAAAGCGCCCAGTGCCCAATATGTGTATACATTAGTATGTGGGGGCGGGGACTTTCTATAAAAAAAAAAAAGTGGAAGTGTTATTACATTGAATTTTTTTTACCTTTTTTACCTTTATTTTTTTAAACATTTGTTGTTTTTTTACTAACTTTATTGCTATCACATAGGGGGCTAACAACCCCCTTATGTGATAGCACTTTAGTGGTGACAGGTTCTCTTTAAGGGGACTTTATGTCACCTCTAATGTCACCTTTGCAGTCCACCAAAGCTGATCAAGCACAGATCCTGCTTGATGAGCTTCCTTCCCGGCCTCTCTGGCCGGGAAATGACAGCTCGGAAGCCGGAAGTGACAAAATCATCATAATTTCCGTGTTCATTCTGCAGAGAGGAGATAAATGATTTCAGAAGCACCTCATGGTGAAGTCAAAAGAACTTTGCATTTGCCCCTTAAAGCCCGTCGACACAGGCCCTTAGATTGGATCAAGTTTTAACCCTTTTGCTCCCACTCACATATGTCATATGTTGGCAGCAGCGGGCCCGTGTAATTAAACTCTGTTGGCTTTACACTGTAAGCGGTTCTAATGGCTGTAAAGGGCCCTTGATCGCTTCCAGGGGCCAGTATACATGTGCCCCACCACCCCCTCCCCGTCCGTCAGGCCTTGCTAGTGCAGGCCTGGAGGACCGGCATCATGGGTCTCTGCAGGTAGAGGGGAGAGACCTGCGAACATCCGTTCACTGATCTCCCCTGAATGAAGCCGGAAGCAACAATAATTTAATTACTTCCGGTCCCTGAGATGTCATTCCCTGTCTTCTCTAGCTGGCACTTACTATGGGCGTTCTGTGTCCCTTACCTTCTCCTGTCATTTTAGGGACTCCTGTCATGAATGTCTCAGCAACAGATTTAGATGACACCGAAGACACCAATAATGGCATTATCGCGTACTCCATCGTAGATCAAGATCCTCTATTGCCAAACCAGATGTTCACTATCGATCAAGTCAGCGGACTGATCAGCGTTTTGACTTCTGGATTAGATCGCGAGGTTTGTGACTAAATTATATCTCCTGACAGCTTCGAAGGCCAGGGATCCCCACCACTACTCACAGTCCCAGCTCACTGTTACTGCCCTTTCAAAGCTACTTGTGTCCTGCCTCAGCAATGGATTCCCTAAAATGTAGAATCAAATTATTGGGAAATCCAGCTGCAAGAAAGTGAGCGCCTTTTTTCTGGTTTTTACAGGAAGGGGTGGAAAAATCCTGACAACTGTCCAGAGCAAAAATAAGAGTTTTGGGCAGAGACAGGGCCGGATTGAGAGCATCACAGGCCTGGTGCTGAGGATTTTGGTGGAAATGTCGACAGTCACCAGGGCCCTCTTCCTCCTCTCCGGGCTGTGATTTGTAGTCTCTTTACAGTTTGAAGTCAGTGGTGGAGCGCCAGGGGCTGACTGCAGCTGGTAGATCTGCCACTGACTCCAAGTTGTAGAGAGACTACAAATCTCAGGAATACATTATACAGCAATGCAGAATACAGCCAACTATAGAGGACTACACATCCCAGCACTAAATTACACAGCAATGCAGAATAATACCAACTATAGAGGACTACAAATCCCAGTAATACACTATACAGCAATGCAGAATACCGCCAACTATAGAGGACTACACATCCCAGCACTAAATTACACAGCAATGCAGAATAATACCAACTATAGAGGACTATAAATCCCAGCAGTACAACTGTTAAGCACTGCAGAATAATACTATCAGCTATAGAGGACTACAAATCACAGCAATAGTTTATACAGCTAAACAGAATACTAAGAAGCTACATACTCTGTGTTGCTCCAGGTTCACGGCCTGAAGTCTCCAGGGTCTCAGGAGGGCTGTGCGGGGTTTCAGGAGGGCTGTGCAGGCTCTCAGGAGGCTGTTCAGGCTATAAGATGGCCAGTGCGGGCACTAAGGGGGCTAGTGCGGGCTCTCTGGTGGTCAGTGTGGCTCTCAGGTGGCCAGTGCAGGCTGCGGGTGGTCAGTGCGGGCTCCGGGTGGTCAGTGCGGGCTTTGGGTGTCAGTGTGGGCTCCGGGTGGTCAGTGCAGGCTTTCGGCGGTCATTGCGTGCTCCGGTGCAGTCAGTGTGCACTTTGGGCGGTCCGTGCAGGCTCTTGGCGGTCAGTAGGGTCTCTGGGTGGTCAGTGCGGGCTCCGAGCGGTCAGTGCGGGCGTTGGGCGGTCAGTGCAGGCTCCGGGCGGGCTTTGGGCGGTCAGTGCGACTCTGGGCGGTCAGTAGGGCCTCTGGGCGGCCAGTAGGGCCTCTGGGCGGCCAGTAGGGGATCTGGGTGGCCAGTAGGGGCTCTGGGTACTCAGTGCGGGCTCACCAGGTATGCCAGGATGATGTGCTGTGACAATCAGGCAGCGGCGGCCCTCTATTCAGGCATATTAGAGGGCTGCTCGCTGGGGCCTCTCGGGGCCCTAGTGAGGAGCAAGCGGCCCTCTAATATGCCTGAATAGAGGGCTGCCGCTGCCTGATTGCGTCCGGTCACTGACCCACATCGCCTCGGTATCCAGGTTGGTGACCGGCCGCAATTAGGTTCTACACTGCCCTTCAACGTTGCATATGAAAATCGGCCGATAATTGTACGGTGTATGGGCACCTGAAGTCTGCACAGTTCTTCTAACAATGAATATTGCATTAGCCCAGGTTTGACTCCTTTTTTCTTTAGCCTCTTATTGCCTGCAGCACGTACTCACCCTATGTTTACTCCCCTGCGGCTCCATTCAGTGCCAAAGGAACCATCTGGAACTTCAGGGTAGTAGGAGCATGTGATCCTGGGGCCAATCCATGCTGCCACTTGGGGAGTCCACAGCCCTATTTAAGGCGGCTGAACAGAGCGACAGGAAGGTGTGGAGGTCTGCATTAAAGTGAACCTGTTGCTATCCCTTGCATGGACAAAGCACCGGTTCTCTTTAAGGGGACCAGGCCCAAAGGGATCGTAAAAATCAGACCCTTCATCCAGCATTCAGTGGATTGTGACATATGTTATATCTGCTGGCCGTTTCAAGGCCTCATTTGAGCTATTTCCTCAACCAAGGCATGCCCTTTAAATTACCCTGCAAGAGCCAAATTAAATATTTGCTCTTCTGGCTTTAGTGCAGCCTTTTAGGGAGTCATGACAAGCCATGCAATATAATGCAATAAATGGTCATCAAGTAGAAGTAAAAATAAAATACATACTGCATATTTACATCAGTCCTTGCCCTCAAGGAGCTTCCAATCTAAGGTCCCTATCTCACATACAAATGCTAGGCCTGATTTAGACAGGGGCCATTTTACCTTCCAGCATGTCTTTAGAGTGTGGGAGGAAACTGGAGCACCCGGAGGAAACCCACGCAAGCACACAGAGAACATGCAAACCCCTTGCAGATAGCATCCTGACTGGGATTTGAACCAGGGTCCCCCAGTACTTCAAGGCAGAAGTGCTAACCACTGCGCCACTGTGCTGGGCGGATGGCATTTGTGTGGCATTTGTATGGCACTTGTCAGCTCCATGTAGTGCCATGTGAATACACGCCCCTGACATTTTATAAATGTACCCCAAAGTGTTCTTATTTATAATAATAAATACCATTTGTTAAATTACGCTGTAATGTCATTTTCTTTTCAGCTGTATCCCGTGTATACTTTGACCCTCAAAGCAATCGATCAGGAAGGTGCAGGATACGAAGCCACCGGCAAAGCTGTAATCACTGTAACAGATGCCAATGACAATGCTCCGGTTTTTGACCCCATTACGGTAAGTGTAAAAACAGAGTTCTACTATTATTTAAAGCTCCGTACAAACCAAGGCTAACATTGTAGAAGTTTGTTAGGTGTAAGTCAATATCCTTTATTCAGCGCTAGCACAGGGGCCATTTTGTTGAGGTTCAGCAATGCTTTTGCTGGAATACTGAAGTGCAGATATATGTCTTTTAAAGGCAATCTATAACTAAGAGCAAACATGTTATATAAATTGCAGTATACCGGTGGCTGCAATTGTTTTTATTTTTCAGGCTAAGACAAGGCTAGCAAGTACAGTGGTGTTTGCTATGATCTTGCCAGAAATGGCGAGTCTTTGTCACTTCCTGTGAGCCGAACAGAAAACATAAGCAATGTTATCTTCCTTCTGTAAACCACTAACCTCCCTTCCTCCCATGTAATGAAGATGAAGAGAGGTAGACATGTTTGCCGTTCATCCTGGGTGATAACCATGGCTGCTTCCATAGCTTCAGTGGAGGAGTGAGCGTAGCCACCCAGGACAGGAAGTATGTTATTCGCAGGATTACCAGTAGAAGGCGCTGACATACAGTACTACATTGACTGAGACCATTGTGTAGTAGTTCTGACCTGTGATCTTTTATTTCAGTATTTAGAAAAGGTCCCTGAGAATAAAGAGGGGTACGAGGTTGCACTGCTGACAGTCACAGATGATGACACCCCCAACACCGATGCCTGGACGGCCGTGTTTAAGATTGTTAAAGGCAATGAAGGAAATCTTTTCGGCATAACTACAACTCCAGATAACATGGGTCAACTAAAAACCGTTAAGGTACGCTATGTTTAGTTACAATAATAGTCATTCTTATTTAAAGCTGCACTTCAGGCAAACAGTGCAATACACAGTTAAAATCCATATATGAGATTTGTTTTATCTGCCATAGAATTTGTACTCCTGTCTATTGATTCCTGAGATATACACAGCTCTGCCACACAGCACAGCCAGCAGTTAAGTCAATCAACCAGGTCTTGTCTCTCCTCCAGCCTGTAATTGGACAGTAAAAGGAGAAGCAGCAGACTGATGAGCTCATCTCTCTGTCACTCTGCCCTCTCATGCTGTAAGCATTTCACTTATGAGCACTACAACACTACAGACTGGCTCCTTGTGCTGCTCCTCTCTCTCCCAGTCTGAGCTCTACTATACAGGGACTGCAAGAGGCTGATTCCAGGTCATGTTATCCTAGTTGCTTTTAAATGCAGTTAATTAATCCAGTTTTTTAAAATCTAGCTTTAATAAACAACTGCAGAGTATTAATCAGAAATAAAAGCATATATTCTGTGAACACAAATTTTGAGTTATTTTATTTTTCTATACAGAAGTTTTACATTCTGTAATGTTTTCGGTACCTTCATTCATCCATTGTATTGCATCTAATGAACTATCATAATCACTGAGCCTTCCTGTACATGCATAAAACCTCACTCTTGTAGTCTGCCTTCATTTTAGTTAGAACTATGGTGAGATGGAGGAGCATCTCTTAGTATAGTCGGGGTCCTGGTTGGGTACATTTAGTAAGTGTGTGTAGATCTATAGGCAGCTCTGTAATAAACAGGAGCCTCAGCAAGCTTTTTATAAAGAAGGATTAGTTCAGTTTTGGGCACGAGTTCACATAAAGGATGTGGCTGATCTGGAGAGAATTTAGACAAGGACAAATAAATGAATAAGGGCCATAGAGGACCTCCAATGAGGAAAAATTAATTGAACTTAATATGCTTTATGTTCCTCTGAGATAAAGCGATTAGGGGGATATGATCACCTTATATAAATATATATTAAATTAATTCCTATATAATGAGTAACAATTAAGAAAAATAATATGCGCATTAAATGAATTTCGTCCTGGTTGCAGGCACTGGACTTTGAGGCGAAGAGACAACACATTCTGTTGATAGTGGCCACCAACAAAGCCAACTTTTCTGTACCAGTAATAACCTCTACCGCCACAGTCACGGTGGATGTGGAGGATGTGAATGAGCCTCCGATGTTTGTGCCGCCAGTGAAGGATGTCAATATCCCAGAGGATCTTCCAAGTGGCCAAGAGGTGGCTTCCTACACAGCTCAGGACCCAGACAAGGCACAGAATCAAAAGATAACGTGAGTGTTTGTAAGATTTCTGTCACTAGAGTCAGACAACCTTTTCCTTTTAATTATCCACTATTGTATTTCTAATATATTAGTTGATAGATAACCTGAGCCTTATCCAAGAGCTTGACAAAGCCACAGCTGGTGACATTGGTTGGCCTGTATCTGCCAGCCTGCTAAAGACCAACTTCAGACAAAGCTTTTTAATTTGGATAGAGCAGGAAAGGGATAAAGTCTCTGTCAGGTTTTTTTTATTGCTGCCTGTATCCCTGTTGCTGAGATATCCCCTCACTTCCTGTCAGGACAGGAAGTAATAGGAAATCTCTCCAGTAGGGCCAAAAGACAAAAACAAAACACCACAGTGTGGTGAAGGAGTAAAACTTCTGACAATGTTTATGGCAATATTTGATAATATTTCCGTAACACATTTTTTCTGAGCGACTGCCTTACATTTGCTAAAGAGTTGAGTGTAATGTGTACAACTCCTTATACAATATCATTGTATAAGAATCAGGTTAGTTGTTGATCATAATGAACTTTTTAAATGTTGTCTGCAGTTATTACATCGGCAACGACCCAGCTGGGTGGCTCACAGTAAATCCAGAGAATGGAATTATCACAGGAAATGGACAATTAGATCGAGAGTCCATATTTGTCAAGAACAACACTTACAGGGCCATCATCTTAGCTGTGGACAATGGTGAGTGCTACTTGAGTCTCCAATATAACTGAGAACACCTAAACTGATGTTGCTATTTTCTGGACGCTAGATTCTATATTTGTTTTTCCTGTATGTTCGGGTTGGTTGGGACAAGTCTCTGCATTGCTGGTAAAACATACAAAAGAGTGCAGGGCTTTATGGTAGAAGGGGCGTATGGCAAAGGTGGTGCCAATATACACTGACTGTAAGTCAATCCACACTCTCCTTTTGTCCAGGTGACTTGCTATGCAGTTATTCAGAAATTGTTAAATGTATTTTAAATATGAATTCCAAAATTGTCCAAGATCAATATGTACATCCCACAATCTACAAAACTAGTGCCAGTTAATTTATATGGTGGTGTTACCCTGACTATAATGGGCGTGTGTGAAACAGACCACCTATGTGTATTTCATCTGGGTAGTTGGTTTTTTATGACATATTGTGATTCCTACAGGTTCACCCGCTACAACCGGGACAGGCACCCTTCAGATCATTCTTGGAGATGTGAATGACAATGGGCCGTATTTGGAATACCAAGAAGTTATATATTGCCAGAAGAGTCCAGACCCCCTATCTATCAATATCATTGACAGAGATCTGCCCCCGTTTCAAGACCCATACAAGGCACAACTGACACGCGAAGCGCGTGAAAACTGGACAGCCAGTGTGGTAAATACTAGTAAGTTTCCACACATTAGTTACATGCATGTATGTGTGTGTATGTGCATGATTTTAACTTTTTTTTTTAAAGATGCTTTTTATTGATGCTTTCAGATGTTATACACATATATACAACAAAAGAAATAGAAAAAAAAAAAACAACACCAAAATCCAGACAGTGGGCTAACAGCCCAGAATTAAATGTCATGCAACATACATATTAGGTTTACAACTCCAGAACAGAGAATATAAGTTACTGGTTAAATATATACTCAGTACCCCAGTATTGGTAGGCATGGTAAGTTGTTGCGGAGCATTTCAGGGAGCGCGGAGGATGTCAGAAGCTCTAGTAGGACATGAAGCAGTGAGGTTATTTAAACAAAGTCAACATTCGTACTAGCAGAAGAGAGCCAGGGGCCCCAAATGCGAGTGAAGCGGCGCGGGTTGCCCCGCTGCTCGTATGTAAGTTTGTAGAGGGGTAATGTCTGATCCACCAGCCTTTTCCAGTCACCCAGGGAGGAGGCCTTAGGGGTACCCCACACTAGGAGAATAGCTTTTTTGGCATAAAAAAAAAAGCAGGCGGAATAATGTCTGAGCACCCGAGCAACAGTAGCTCATCAAACAGACCCAGGAGGAAGAATGCAGGGTTACATGATTAGCTTCCATGAAGGAAGTAACCTCGGACCAAAAGGTCCGTATGCGTGGACATGTCCAAAAGGAGTGTGGGAAATCAGCCTCATGACCACAGAGCTTGAAGCAACCTGGGTTGGATCGAAGGCCCATTTTACACAATAGGGAAGGAGTGTAGTATGCTTGATAGAAAAACTTCATCTGCAACAGTTTATCTCAGAAGCTATCACTGAGGACATGTATCTGTCACCAAAGTCACTCCAATCGTCCTCCACCAGGTCTGGGAGAAGTGACTTCTGTTTACGGCTGTCAAATCTACCAGATCTGTGAGTTCCAGGTAGTAAGTCGAAATTAATTTAGAGAATGTATCCCTGCGCAGCATCTCCTCTGGGGGGGAGGTGCAGGGTACAGTTCCAGTGGTTGTTTATATAATGGGGGGGGGCGAAAAAAAATTTCTGCCCCGGGCGCCCAGAACTCTGGTTACGGCTCTGCCTCCAGTGAGGACTGAGCCGGTATGAGGGGGGCCGACCCAAATTGGGTTCGAACCGCATGCAGCAGCTGGCATAGGCCAAGAAATCAGACGGGGATAGTCGTATCTCCTCCCTGAGCTGTGGAAAACTAAGCATCACCCCATTACAGAATAACTGAGAAAGAGATTTAATGCCTTTCGAGGACCAGAAGGTGGCTGATGGTAGGCACTGCAGCTCCCGAAAGGAAGGATTACCCCATAGTGAAGCATATGGAGAATGAGATCAGGAGGTTATTTGCAGCCAATTAATGACATATTTGAGAATACAAAGGGTCACCGAGCATGATTTTAACAGGTTTTCTGCCATATTTCATTTCAAACCGACCTTCATTAAAATGTACATGTCACATTAATCAGAAGAGTCTTGTCGACATTACCAAATCACATTATTTTAAATAAATATGTACCTCTTTCTTGTGCTAATGTGCTACACAAAGATACACATGTGCTACACAAAGATTGCATACTTAGCTAGCTGGAGCATTGTGGGTGTTTCAAGTTTTTGCCGGCTTCCTAGAGCCTATTGTTTTTAGTTAGTCTGGCCTTGTCTGGTAGTCTGGTGACTTGCAATAAGCTTAAAAGATCAGCAAGGTGCAACTAGAAATGCAAAGATATGGATGAAGCAACTATGACTGTGGCCATGTACATGTTTATGTACTAAGGCTGACTTCACACAGTTCATTCTGCTGTGTTGCGTTTAGACAAGGGCGTTATATCACATGATATTGTGTGTTGCATTGAGGCAGCCCAGTAATGTAAATGGACTGCCATTGCACCATAGCGGACAAAAAAACTGCCTGCACATATTGCTGTCGCTTGCCTGAGAAAGAGGTCCTGCTTGGCTTTGAAGCATTGCACCTGCACTGTTTGTGAAATAAGGTTTGGATTATTGATTATGGATCCATTGTGCTGGTAACATACAGTATGTTCTTATCTATGCTGATACCAGTCAACCTGCTGCCGGCTGCTACAACACCGTCCTACTCCAGGCCATGTCCAGGAATATGTGCAATGGGAATACAGTATATTAAGTGGCGCCCCCTTTTTTTTTCTAGTGCAGAATGCCATCATCACAGTAGTGTATTACCATATGTTGCAGCACAGGTCCATTGTGGAGTGGTGTTAGGGTGTAATTTAAAATTAATGCAGTGGTGGGCCCAAACTGTGGGTTTGAAAACATTAAATCCCAAATCCAGCCATAACACCAGGAAAAATTCCAGGGAAAAGTCAAAACCAGCCATGTAGTGGGGCTAGCAGTCATGTATTGTAAGTGAGGACGCTAAGGACCCTGCCTATAACCTAGAGTGTCAGAGGGGAGAGCGCCAGCTGCCGGGGGAGCGAGGGATAAGGCAAGCAAAACTGCTTAATGGTACCCTCGACAAAAACAAACATGGGGGGAGCCCCACTGCAAGGGTAGTTTTAAAAATAACAGTTCAGCTTTAATTGACATCTATGTCCCTACTGAGGAGATTTACCTCAATTTCCTGTTAGGTCAGGAAGTGATGGGAAGTCCTCCAAAAGGGAACACACCAAACATTTTTAGTAACATATGGAAGGGTTAGCACGTCTGGCAATTATTTTATTGCTGCCTGTGCTTTCCTGTCAGTGGTTCTTTCCATTTCTTGTACAGACATGACAGGGATAGGAATTGGGCTCACACATAGGAGTATTAGCCCTGTACCACTCTACTCAAAATGAAAAAGACAAATGTTGTCCGGAGATGGGTTTTTATACACATCGCTAACTAAAACATTTAAAAGACTATAGTTCACATTTAAAGCAGAACAAATACAAAAATAATAATCAATACATGGCCCATTTAAAGATAAAATGAATAGACAGTTTGAACTGCAATACTCAATCTGGAGTTGACCCCCTGCAGTACTTATTTTTCACCACAGGATGTCCTCGGTTATTCAAGTTAAATAATGGCCAGCGTCATTCAACCCTCTTCCTCTGTGCCAGATGTCATTATACAGTCCAGGTTCAGGTGGCACGCTGCACACAGTGCGCATAAGTCTGCAGAGTCAATAGCTACAGACCTCCAAACTTCATGTGGCCTTCAGATTGGCACAACAACAGTGCGTAGAGAGCTTCATGGAATGGGTTTCCATGGCCGGGCAGCTGCATCCAAGCCTTACATCACCAAGTGCAATGCAAAGCGTCGAATGCAGTGGTGTAAAGCACTCCGCCACTGGACTCTAGAGAAGTGTAGACGTGTTCTCTGAAGTGAGGAAGAGTTTGGGGATGGCCCCTTCCTGTTCCAACATGACTACGCACCAGTGCACAAAGCAAGGTCCATAAAGACATGGATGAGCGAGTTTGGGTGGGAGGAACCTGACTGGCTTGCACAGAGTCCTGACCTCAACCCGATAGAACACCTTTGGGATGAATTTGAGCGGAGACTGCGAGCCCGGCCTTCTCCTCCGACATCAGTACCTGGCCTCACAAATGTCCAACATTCCCATAGACACACTCCTAAACCTTGTGGACGTCTTCCCAGAAGAGTTGAAGCTGTTATAGCGGCAAAGGGCGGAGCCAACTCAATATTGCACCCTACGGACTAAGACTGGGATGCCATTAAAGTTCATGTGCGTCTAAAGGCCGGCGTCCCAATACGTTTGGTAATATAGTGTATATATATATATATAGGCCTTGAGAGGGCAGGGGGGATTAAATATATCGGACTTTAAATATGTTTTGTATGGCTGTATTGTCTGTATGGTTATACTTTACTATGTTTATACACAGGCGAAGGTGGAGGGGGGTGTTTGCCTCTTTGAGTAATTGTCCCATTTTTATTTTTGTTTGCAGAATTTGAGATTAAGGCGAACAGGGAGATGGCTGAAGATGTCTATCAGGTGCCCGTCACCCTTGCCGACAGCCAGGATAAGACGAACATAACTGTGTTGAAGATACAAGTGTGCCAGTGCACAGCCGAAAATAACAACTGTGACACTCCGAAAGCATTGGCTGGAGGCCTGGGCATCCCTGTCATCCTTGGCATCCTGGGGGGTATCCTGGCACTTCTGAGTAAGTACTACCACCATGCTCAGGTGGGGGCACACAGCTTTAACACGCCATGTTTACATAGCGCTACATTAGCAGTCTTGCTGGGATAGATATTTTCTCCTTACCTGGATATACTGCTGTTGGCTCACATTTCCTGGAGAAAGAAATGCTGCTCCGGGCTCCTTTCAGTGCTGGCCACATGTATGAAGGCCTAGGCACTTGGTCACCTGATCTTTTCTGAAAGGGAAAGCCAGCCAGCTCAAAATTTGATCCTCTAATTCAACAGATTTCAGAGGAGCAAGTGCCTGTAACCATGCGGCCAGCACTGAAGTGAGCCTGAGCAGCATTTTCTCCATTTTGTTTAGGTTACAGTTTTGTAACTGATTATTTATCCACCAAGGCAAGGTTGCTAATATATATGTATGTTTATCTTTGGCTATAGGTCCTCCTTAGAGGTTTACTGACATATAAGATATGTAGAGATATAAGAAATCCAGGCCAATGGAAAACATTCATTCTCATTCTCTATAGCGACCTGGTCAGCCAGGCAACACTTTTATCTCATTTCCTTGCAATAGAAACTCAGCAGATAAACAGTGTAGTACCTGACACCATGCTTAAATTTGTGTCATGCCCATCCCCTCAATCACACCAGCTTAGCAGCATAGACCAGAATGGGGGCTGTTGCTATTGCATGATGGGAGGTATAGAGAGCAGATCAGCAGATGTGCCCTTTTAGACTGTCTCTCTGGAATTGAAACCCATACAAAACAGGGAGAGGGGGAAGTAGGTGAGTAACTGACTCATTCAGCTGTGTGTACAATGTGAGCTTCAACTCAGGCAAGGCAAGATTAGTCCACAGCGCCATTTGCTGCTGGAAATTGTAAATATGAGACTATCGTACCCATTCAGCATGAAGGGCCATTTTTTGATGCGCCTGGATCTGCAGGAAGAGGCGTGCAGCCACATCATGTAAGTCTATGGGTGACTCAGGAGCTGTGCACACACACTGCTTCCCAAGTTTTGACAGTTGCACACAGACAGTGTATGGCCTTCGACACAGACATGTTGGATCCAGGTCCATACACTGTCAGAACTCGAAGCTGTGGGAAGCAGCCTGTGAGGGCGCACAGCTCCTGCGTCTCCATAGACTTACAGGAGCTGCCTGCACGCTTCTTCCTGCAACTCTGGGCGCATCAAAAACCTGCCCTTCACCCTGTATGGGTGTAAATGAGGCATTTGTTCACTCGGGGGTCTCCCTTTGGGGGAGCCTCCACCTAGTACTTGGTGGACCTGTTTCGGCAGGTCCCAGAGGATCGGGGTCCGCCGGCCTTCGGGTAGGTGGACCTAAGTCGTTCTTGTCCCTGTCAGGAGCCTTGCACCCTGGGGGATCAGGAAATAGTGGCCCTTCTCATCAGAAAGGACTAATAGCACCCTTGCGCACGTTTTTGTGTGTAGTGATTTCACTATTCACTTTTTTTTGTTCATAGGGGTATTGTTTTTGTTTGCACGCTTCCAAATTTAAAAAAATGTGTTCTTCATACACAAAAAAGCACGATATGTTCCCTTAAAGTCCCTTCAATTTTCATTGTATGACCTGGCTATGTGCATTTCCTACGGTACCCTTATATTATGTCAAATGAAAACATTTAGCCTACACTTTTAGCCATGAATTTTTATTCACTTTATGTTCCTCTCTTTGTTCATCGCGATAGTACTCCTATTGCTGCTTCTGCTGTTTGTGAGGAAGAGGAAGGTGGTGAAGGAGCCATTACTGCCTCCTGAAGATGAAACGCGGGATAACGTCTACTTCTATGATGAAGAAGGTGGCGGAGAGGAAGATCAGGTACGGCACATTATGGTTTATTATTGAAACACTCCCCCTTCACTGGTAGCCATGTGGCAGTCTATGGCAGATTCCTGGCGGTGCCTGGAAACCCCCAGAGCAATTTTTATATTCCTGCTGTGCGCCTATTAATTGCGCAATAACTTTGTCCATGCTAAAAGAACTCCAGGCAAACAAAAAAACTAAACCTTTGCAATGCGTGGGTAACCACACTGCAAAGGTAAGTGTTCATTTTGATCTAGGGGGGCTCAAGTAAAGCAGATATACTTACCTGATCCTCCATCCTGCTGCGGTCAACGCTCACCTCTCTCCCCCTCCATTCCGGCTATAGAATATACCTTGGTGTCTGTATGTCTAATGCAGCTCATTGGACCTGTATAAGATGTGATGACACTAGCCAGGGGGAGTCCAGGGGAGAAGAGGCTCAGGGGTCTGCTCTAGCATCCTGGAGGTGCCGAGGATCAGTATATGAGTATATCTGCTTTATATGAGCCCCCTTGCAGTTAACCCTTGCAGGGCAGGGGGAGCCCCACTACAAGGGTAAGTTTATATGGCTCGCCTGGGGTTCTTCTTTAGGAAAACAAAGTAATATATATATATTGTTTTTATGACAAACAAGGATTTTATTTTGTGATACTGTCTTTGCAGAAAAAACAAAAATGCAGTCCGAAGATAAACATAATAAAACTAAAAAAAAACACTTTTTTCTACTTTAACCACTTGCCGTCCGCACATTGTGAAAAAACGGACGGATGTCAAACTCACATTGGCAGGTTGCCGTAAAAAGACGTTTTCTTTTCTGCTTGCGTCCCACCCCCACGTTTACGCATATATAAACGTAAATACGCGTCCGATGCGCCAGCGTGCGAAAACAACAATTGCTCTACACATGTTACATATGGCCGCGGACGTCAGAATGAGAGCAATCATTTTAGGGCCATCAATCAAATTAAAGCGTCGCCTATGGCCAATTTTGGGTATTGTCGTTTATTGAGGTTTCGCAATTTTAAAGCTTGACATGTTTGGTGTCTTTGCACCCGATGTGACCCCGTCTTTTATATTTTACCAAAAAATTGGGTAATAAAAAATGTTTTATAATTTAATATAGGGGAAAACAGTTTTTGTTTTTTTTGGTAATTTTTCCTTTATATAGTAAAAGATAAACCCCCAGTGGTGATTATATACCACCAAAGGAAAGCTCTATCTGTCCCCAAAAAAATGGTATAAAATTTATTTCAGTACAGCGTTACATGACGGAATAAATGTCAGTCAAAGTACCGCAGAAAAATGGTCTGGACAGGAAGGGGGTTTAAAACCACGGACTTCAACTTAATCAGTTAATCCGTGTTAGTTAAAAAGAATAAGTGCTACTTGTAGATAATAAAAAGTATATATTTCTGTTTAAAATGATACTAAGGAGCCGATTTATAAATCACACGGCACAACCGCTACTAGATGGAGCGAAGGAGCAGAGGAAATTCTTCCCTCACTTTTAGCTCCGCCATTCTTTCAGCTCACTCAGTGTCATGAGCAACAGGCCATATTGTTGAAGAATACTAACTGATTGCGCTTTTGCCCTTCAGGATTTTGACCTTGGCCAGCTTCACCGTGGTCTCGATGCCCGCCCTGACGTCATTCGTAATGATGTTGCACCAACATTTATGCCCGCTCCTCAGTACCGGCCAAGACCAGCCAATCCCGATGAGATCGGAAACTTTATCGATGAGGTAAGTCGCCATATTGGCAACTTCAGCTGTAACAGTGCATGGTACATATACAGAGGAGCAATACGCCTTGTGTTTGGCTCTTAGATCCTAGACTAGAGGTAAACTAATGGCCCGTCATGTGTTGGTATTCCATTTCTGACTGCAGTAAAAAAAAAATTGAAAGCTAAAATCTGATTGGCTGCTGTCATTGGTATCTCAGAGTGTGCATATAGTATAAATGAGCCTGATTGTGCATTAGGTAAATGGCTGTATTCAGCAAAGGGTTCTTATCCTGAAAGCCCAAATCCAGGCTCAGCCGGGGGTCTCTCCAGCAGTAGTATATCCTTTTTTTTTTTTACGTATTTACCTTTTTCCAAAGTCTTCAGGTCAGTCATGTGGCGCCCTTAGTCCCATTCCCCAGCAGTGGGTGGTTTGTGGCGCTGATGCTTTCTGCATCATTACACTGTGAGTGCAAAGGGCAATGATGACGTCTGCTCAAGGTGCAGGTCCATGACATCATGCACTCACAAGATGTCCTCAGTCTTCCCAGCTGAATGAATGCTAATTGCCTAGCTAGCATGGAAGCCAAGAAACTGACATTTTCAGCAGTCACAGCTTACATGTTACCTCAGTACAGGCTACCAAATAAGACCTTAAAGAAGAATTGTAAGTACATACTCTTGCAGTGGCCACCCTTGCAGCGCTCATTTTGTATAGGGCAGTGCAATAAAGCTGATATACTCAGCTGATTCTCGGTCCTGCCGGGTTGGTTGACTGGCCCCCCACAACCTCTGTTTTCCCGGGCCCTGGTGGTCTAAAGACCTCTGGTGTGTTCATGTCTAATCCAGGTAATATGATTTGTATTAGACATGAGGACGCTGAGGGACATTTCCCAGGAGAAGGAGAAAGGTGAGTGCCAACTGCCGGAGGACCGAGGATCAGGTGAGTAATACACCTTTATTTGACTCGCCTAGATATAATCATAGAGGTAACCCCACTGCAAGGGTAAGTTTTTTTTAAATTCCTGGAGTTCTTTAGGAATATGCAATATGTCACTGAGTGGAGCGCTCATGACATACAGTTTGAATGCTGCACCATGTGTATTCAAATGCAGATATACGTTCACATGGTGCCAAACAGAGGCTGCACCAGATGGGCCACAAAGGGATGAATTCACAAAGCTGAGGCACGATAAGGATCCTTATTTTCAAAATTTAGATTTTACTCATGGCCTCACAGCCAAAACAAAGATCCTTACCCTTGTGTTAAAGCAATGGCGTAACAATCACCATAGCGACCCAGGCGGTGGCTATGGGGCCCGGGCACAGGGGGGCCCGGCCAGGGCATCCCTCTGATGCCGTGTGGGTCGCCTGGGTCGCTATGGCATATCAGGGTTCTGGCTGTCATTGATACAGCTCAGCAGCGGCGGTGAAGAGGAACGGCCGCTGCGGAGCTGTGTCAGTGAGAGCCAGCAGCTGCTGCAGAAGAGGCCGGCGTTCGCAGTGAAGGAGGAGGCGGGGTCCGGGACGGCGACCTAAGAGCCAGCGATGTAAGAGGAGGTAGGGCCCGTCGATAGAAGAGGAGGCGGGGCCTGGCGACCACTGAGGCGGACAGCCCTGACAGGTAAGAGGTGTGCAGCCCATCTGAGACCCTGCAGAGCCCACTATAGAGAGTCTATAGTGGGCTCTGCAGGGTCACTCTCAGGTGGGCTGTTTCGTATATCAGGTGGGCTCTGCAAGTGGCATAACTAGCAATCAGGGGCCCCATACAAAATTTTGCTATGGGGCCCTGTGATTTCTAGTTACGCCCCTGTGTTAAAGCTCTCTAAAATAAACCTGTTGTGTTGTAGAAGCGTAGGGGTAATGCGATCCACCTTGAACATGACGGGTATTAGTAACTAGCAGTGTGCGGTCACTACACGTGGTGCATGATCGATAAAAACTTTGCTAATATATATGCTGGAATCATTCTGACTCTTGATTGTTCTCACTCTTTCTTTCTACCTTAATCAGAATCTGAACGCGGCTGACAATGACCCCACCGCCCCACCGTACGACTCACTACTGGTGTTCGACTACGAAGGCAGCGGGTCGGACGCCGCCTCTCTCAGCTCCTTGAACTCCTCCAACTCTGACGCCGATCAGGATTACAGCGGTCTGAACGACTGGGGGCCACGTTTCAGAAAGTTGGCAGACATGTACGGAGGAGATGAGGATTAATCTGCGCACTGAATCCCCTTTAAGAACTGCAGGAACTGTCAGTGCATGCCATCCAATAGCACTGTGTACATAGCCAGTATGGAGGACCATCAGTTATGCTTCTCAGTTTTCCCATCAATGAACTTCAGCTTAACTCTGTGGGTGCGAAATTCCAAGACCAAGTCGTCTTTTGCGGTGACTTTAGAAGTGGCTTTCTCTGCTGGAGGAAATGAAAATCATTATTATTGTCATTTTGTGTAGATTGCGCTTTTTAAAGCAGACCTGTCACGCAAAATGCTTACACCCAGACACTCGATAAAATGCCATTTACCCTAAATCTATATAAAAGAGCTTTAAAAACATTTGCAGGTAAATAAGCCAAGCCTGTCAGAATTAGAGATGTCTGAAATGATAATGAGGGAGATCATTTCCTGTACACAATCAACTTCCTGTTCAATATCCCCATATATAAGTATGTAGCCATCTGTCTTCATAAGCCTCAATTAGCCGAAATGGCTGAAAATGTAGATCAATAGGCTACTCCACATTAAGTGGTTCAGTTCCTGAACTCGCCTTTAAATAAATAATAATATATGTATATGTTGTTAATTGTTCTATTACCCAAAGTTAGCTTATGGCTACATTTATTGGTCCTTCAATACTGCTTTCTGAGTGGAGGCTGGACAAATCCCAGGAGCCAGGTTTCCATGGCTCCTTAAAAATAACTTTTACAGTTTTCTCTAGCTTTTGTCAAGGGAGATGGCTCCTAAAAACACCCTTCTGGCTCCTGGATTGGACAGGCTGGCTCCTAAATCCCATGATAATTTGTCCACCCCTGAGTTAGTGTCATATGTACTTTTCATAAGAGAAATTCATTGTAAATTATTCCTACTCAAGGCCATGGCAAAATCTATAACATTAAACATCATGTGACCCTTTAGAGCCAGTCTGAAGTATGCTGGTTCATGCAGGGATAGTATAGGCAAGCAAGCACGCTCCGTGCCAGTAAATAGGCACACTCCCCTGTATATGTATATCTGCCTCGATGGCGGCTTCACATGTATACAGAAGGAACTTTACAGCTATACCCCACCATCAGTATTGGACAGATTTAGCTATACATTGTGTTGAGTGTTGAGGATACCTGCACTGATATAAATACATGCCATTGCTGATTGCCTGGCTGTCTCTGGCTACATTTCTGTTGGCTGACCTGAGTTCTGGGCAGGTAGCCAGTGATGTCAGGACTCATAATCCTCTTATCTGTTCCATATCAGTGCCTAAGAGCGTATCACAACCACCGGTTCAGCATGGCAGCCAGTGATGTCAGCACTCATAATCCTCTATTCCATATCAGTGCCTAGGAGAGTACTACAACCATCGGTTCAGCATGGCAGCCAGTAATGTCAGGACTCATAATCCTCTATTCCATATCAGTGCCTAAGAGCGTATCACAACCATCGGTTCAGCACGGCAGCCAGTGATGTCAGGACTGATAATCCTCTGTTCCATATCGGTGTCTAGGAGAGTACTACAACCATCAGTTCAGCATGGCAGCCAGGCAGGTACCGTTTTCAGGAGGATAGTCCAATAACGGCAGCCTCCATATCCAATCAGTACGGGTTTGTTTTAGTGTTTGGCCTGGTGACAGGTCTGCTTTAACCAAAGCTACTTGCCAAAAAGAAGTCTATTATGTTGTGCTTACATATGATTTTTTTATAAACATTTTGATTTAATCTTTTCGGATCTTCTTTAATTTATCGCTGGGGTATTGGTTGGGTATTTTTATATATCGACAACTGGAACACAAGCCATAGAAAAGTGCAGGAGAAGTCCCCACAATTGTATGTATGGACATAACAATTGCCAGAAAACCGACAGAGATGCGAACAGGGATGTGTCCATTTTTTAATGTATTTTGTGGTTTTTGTTTTGCTGGGAGGAGTGTCATAGAGACCAGACGTAGAGGTAATATACCCCTGACTCTTGTATTTTAAGTATATCAATATATGTAGATCACTGTACAGCTAGAATTCCTCATGCCAAAAATGATGTGCTTGTCTATGTAATTCTAAACTTTACTAAACTTTACTAAAATTCTAAACTTTACTTTTCATTGTAGACAGACTAGTAAGGCATAAAATTCCTCTCAGATTTTTATGGGGATCAGAAGTAGGAATGCAACACCCGAATATTAGAGTCCACAAAATGTTTATTCCATTAGGATCATCCAATAAAAGTGTGACCAAAGCGTTTTGGGGACTCTTGGATGTCCCCTTCATGAGGGGTAAAAGTATTGGGAGGAGACAAAAGATAGAAGAAGACCACGTATTAATGGATTGTCATCAGGCACACTGCTCAGCAGCTGGTTGTTGCAGCAGCAATAGATTTCTATTAAGGCCTCCATCTCTGTTGGGGAAATGTTCACTCACTTCCTGTCGGGACAGGAAATGATGGGAAATGTCCACAACGGGAGTCACAGACGGCAATAAAACAAGGCAGGAGTGTGTACCCTTCCTAAATGTATCCAAAACCCAATGAAAAGTTTTGACTGGAGTTGGGCTTTAAGTAGAACATAACCTCCTGGAAAGTCACACTCAGCAACCAGTTCAGTCGTCATTTTCTCAGTACAGTTCTGAGAAGAAAAGCTGACGTTCAATCAGTTGCTCTGGGAAAAAAATCTGCAAACTTCTGAATCATTTATAGAGAAAAATTCTCTTCAATCTGATGATGAATTGAAGGTTAATCTGCCTTAGTGTGCGTATGTGTAAAACGTCAGACCAAATCTTTTGGGAAAGTCTCTCTGCTACTTGTTTTATGCAAAATGTTGTCAAGAAATGTGTATTTTTGTATATTTTCAGTATAATGTTACTATAGGGGAGAATGTGCCATGACCCTTGTGCCCCATAAACACATTGGTCATAATCAACTATTGTCATGGACTGCTCGATGTATATTTTGGGATTTGAGAATCTCTGGAACACGAGTTGCGGCATTCTTTCCTAAATGTTTACAGAAGCAGAAGTGGTGGGGGGTGGAACATGTAGTTCAAGGGGAACACCAGCAAAAAGAAATGCTTCAGCACTCAATGATGACCCAATTTCCTTGCGAGGTAATGCTAATGGTTGACAAAATATTGGGCGAGAACCATGTTGGAAGGCAGAGACCTCTAGGAGCAACATGAGACCAATACCTCGTCCTTGCTTTTGCTCCTCTGCTTTTCCCTGCTGATTTAAGCTAGAAGGGAAACAATCCCGCAATGCAGAACCTACATCTCGGCCAATACCAAACGTGGTAGGAACAGTCCCGGTTTTGACTTAGGGGCTTATTTATGAGGGAGAGCAGATGTCATCAACATCTGCTCCTCCGTGCTACACTGCAGTATTTCTCAATACCTTGGCCGGCATTTTATGAATGGGCCACAAAATGCAGGCCATGGTACTGAGCGTGCAGTAATTCAGAGTTCTCTGCTTAACGCAGCAGAGAGAGCTCTGTGATTGGAGGAGAGCTATGACCATATGGCTGGGTTTGGAGGCAGTATAATGTCCCTTTCAATAGGTGCTCTTCAAGTGTTCCTCAGCTTAGAACCTTTGTGGGACATCTACATCTCACTTATAAATACTTCAACAGGGGAACCTCCCTTTGTATCCTGAGATCATTGTCTTCTTCTCTATCAGAGGTATCTTTAATGTCTGTAGTCTTTCTGCTATTGGTTCTGCCTGAAGGAACGCTTCCCTGTATCTAAATATGAATCACAGACATTATAGTGAAAGTTCCAGATATTGTGTGTATCATCCGTGTTTTTTTATATAAAGTTGTTTATATAAAATAAAGATTTCAAAAATGATCATTCTTTTACACTCATGTCGTTTGATATTTTATAAATCTTAGGTCATTTTTACACAATTGGGACAAGTTTTATCAACTTTAAAAAATGAGGCAGGCCCGAGAGGGAGGAGCAAGGGGCGGAGTGCCAGTTCCCTGGAGCCCAGCCTCTGAGGGGAGCCCAGGCTTTTGTTCGTTGTGTTATAGACACACATTTTTCTTCTTTTTCTTCATTGTTATAATGTTACTCTTATTTGCACACTCTGGTTCTGTTTTAGACTGGCAATGCAGACCCATCTTATGCATTATATGTGCTTATGTACTATTCTAACCCGGCAAGGTGTGATGTGGTGTATTGGGGATGGGGGAGGGGGTTGCACTTAATGTATGAAAGTAGATCCTTACAGTCAAAGTCTCCTTGTTGCTGGATTTCCCCTTTGGTTTCTTGGTCTCTGTGCAGGTTCTTGCACCTCACATGCAAGTGGATTGGACTGCAGGAAGGCAGCACAGCAGTTCGTTTTACCCTGTTGTATGACCTGGTTGTATGTTTCTAGCAAATGTGTTTCAGGGGGCAACAAGGCTCCCCCTTCCTCAGGGCTTAGAATGAGATTAGGCTGCTGCTGTTGTGGTATTTGCAGCGTCCCTGCTGGGAATTACCGAACGTCTCTGAGAATCCCAGCCAGGACTTCCAGAATACCTGCCAATATCTCAAATGGTACTCACAACAGACCTGCCAGTACTTCTAATGGCACTCACAGAATCCAGGCCCAGTCTTTCTAATAGTAGCCACAGAATCCGTGCCAAGACTTCCAGAACACCGTAAAATGATGCTGGGTGTGTTTCCTCCGCTCCAGAAGGGTATTTAAATATCAGCTCTGGAAGTGGCTGGTGCTGTGTCTTCAGACCAGCTATCTTGTCTGTTCAAAGAGCTACAATACTGAGGTTTGTTCCTGTTTTGCTGACTCAGACCGCCTAACCAATCTCTGCTTGCTGCCAGCCTTGACCTCTGCCTGTACCCGACTATGCTCTCATCTCCTGTCCTGTTTACTGGCTGCCGACCCGGACTGCTTGACTACTGTCTGATTATCGCTTGTCTGGACCCCTTCCTGATCCTGACCATACTCTGGTCTACTGTCTTCACATTGTAGCCTTCCTGCCCTCGCCCATCCCTTGGCAGGGCAATCCTGAGGACCGTGACATGGTACCAACAAGCAGCAAAACCCATCTCTACCATTGGAAGCTCTGGTGAAAACCAGCTGTTGCTTAGGCTCTGTGTCTCAGTTGAGCCCGTGTCACCTGCTAGGGGTTGTCACCCTAAGAGCTGCCAAATTATATATGTTATATGAAATCATATTTATATCCATTTGGGTATAATATCTTCTGAGTCCAATCAAATTCTTATCCCATTTTAATCCCTAATAAATGGGGAGTGTTGCCCTGAAAGGCTTTGGCTGCTTTTTTTGGATCAAATTGTGAACAATTAAAGGCACTTTTGGA